CTGTTTGCTTTCTCTCCCTGCAGAAACACCTCTCACAAAGATTTGAGGCCCAGCCTCCAAATAGAGTTAAGGCCAGAAGGTGTTTTGGACTACAAGTCCCATCGTCCTGTACTCTTACCTATGCTGACTGGGGATGGGCTGAAAGTTAGTCTGGGGAGCGTCGGTGGGGGGGCACTTGGCTGGGGAAAGCTGGTTTACACCTTCAGTTTCATGGAAATAAGTGGGGAAACCTAGAATGTGCCATGAAATCTGTGTGCCTCCTCAACTCTCTTTACTCTCATATGTTCTTTCATTGTCAGTGGGTGGGGGATCTGAACCCCTCTAAACCACCAAGAAAAGCCCTGCTGGGTCAGGTTAATGTTTCATCTAGTCCAGCAACCTGCTTTCATAGTAGCTGCCCAGATGTCCATGGGAAGCCCACAAGCAGGTAAAAGGTAAAGGGACCCCTGACTATTAGGTCCAGTCGTGACCGACTCTGGGGTTGCGGCACTCATCTCGCTTTACTGGCCATGGGAGCCGGTGTACAGCTTCCAGGTCATGTGGCCAGCATGACTAAGCCGCTTCTGGCGAACCAGAGCAGCGCACGGAAACGCCGTTTACCTTCCTGCCAGAGCAGTACCTATTTATCTTTGACGTGGTTTCAAACTGCTAGGTTGGCAGGAGCAGGGACCGAGCAACGGGAGTTCACCCCGTGGTGGGGATTTGAACCTCCGACCTTCTGATAGGCAAGTCCTAGGCTTTGTGGTTTAACCCACAGTGCCACCCGCGTCCATGGGAAGCCCGCAAGCAGGACCCAAGCTCGATAACACTCTCCCCTACTGTGGCTTCCAGCAACTGGTATTCACAACCATTACTGCTTCTGGCTGTACCCCCTGTTGGTACATGAAGCAGAAAATAATGTTGCACACCACCCCAATCTCCACAAGCGGCGTGACATGACAAGGATGTCAGACGCACTTTAGCCTGGGTTTTCCTTTGGAAATGAGGCTCTGCACAGTTGGTGGTGTCTTTATGATATGTGGTTTGTTTACACATATGTGCAACCGGAGAATATGATGGGGACTGCTCAGAGCATTCATATTCCAAGAGGGTCTCTTGCTTCTCCCATAGGCACAGAAGGCTTGGGTCTCAGAACAGAGAAATCAGCCATGCTCTTTGTCTCTTTGTCACAGTCAGCCCACGTGGTGTTGTTCGCCCCACTTCCTCTTCCTTGTATGTGAACCAAGTGAAACTATTCCCCTCTAGCATACATCATCCAAACTCAGTACTCCCCCCCCCCCAAAAAAAATGTTTAAGGGTACTCTCATTTTGACTCAAGAAAATCACTTTTTTATAGTTCAAATTGGGGGTGGGGTGGGGAATACAGTAAATGGACAAAAGTACAAAGAACATGTATTACCTCACACATTAAACGCTCGCTTCCATCTGAGACTCGGGAAAGGAAATGAGGCCGCCATTGGGGGTAGTAATGGAACTGGCAATTCACTGTGCTAGAGTACAGTGGTACCTCGGGTTAAGAACTTAATTCATTCTGGAGGTCTGTTCTTAACCCGAAACTGTTCTTAACCTGAGGTACCACTTTAGCTAATGGGGCCTCCTGCTGCTGCCGCACAATTTCTGTTCTCATCCTGAAGCAAAGTTCTTAACCCAAGGTACTATTTCTGGGTTAGCAGAGTCTGTAACCTGAAGTGTCTGTAACCTGAAGCATCTGTAACCGGAGGTACCACTGTATTTTTTTATTAAAAAAAGTTTCTTCTCCTGCTGGATTCACAAAATGTTTAGGGGTACACGTACCCCTGCGTACCCCCAGAAAAAAGCACTTTCCAGACTGAAATCCTAAACCCTTATTTGTCTCTGCCCACTAACACACAGCTGGAGGAGGGGCTCCACCCCCTTTGCTGTCTGCCATTGAACATCCCGATGGCTCATCATTTGATGGGATGCTAGCAGCCTTTGTTTCCCCACTCAGCTAGCAACCGCCAGGCTGGCTTGGCTTGTTAACATAGGCTTAATCCAGGGGTCCAGTGTATGACACAGTTTAACTCTTCAAACATTGATTAATTCCAACTTTTATTGGACCCAGGAATTTAGGGTGTGATTTGCACCCCACAAAGTCATAACAATAAATCAAGGATTGCTAGTGAGTGGCAGAGGCCTAGCGGACTATTTGCATTGCTGCCCATAACAGCCTTTTGTTGCTTTGAATACAAGAGAGGGTAAAAGAGAAGTTGTGTTTGATGAGAAATTTTTCATGAATGGGTAACAGATAGAGCTTGCAGCTGGTTTCTGAGCACCTGGTTTCTGATTGGTAAGAATGGTCTCCAAGAAACCAATCAGGTAGGGGAAGCTTAAATTTGTGGCGGGGCAGCGAATGACTAATATTTGGTGCATTATAGACAAACCTTTGTGATATTTGTTGACTTATTTTGGGGGGGGGTGATAGAGGATTAGTCACACTGCTGAAAGATTTTCAGAACTCCTTGTGGAGGGACACCTAACTGGCTGGCTAACATCCTCACTTGATATGTTGCGAAAGCAAAGCCATTTCTGCTGTAGGAGCTGCAGAGCTGAGGCGTTTGAAGTTGCTCTCCTATGGACCATCAAAGGGGAAAGTGATTCAGAGGAGCTGAAAATATCACCTGGTGCTGACTTTTTGAGCAGCCAAGAGGTAGAGATCTAAGCATCGCCATGCCAATTAAATGGGGGGAAAGGGCTGGGAGTGATGCTGGAACTTTAAATGTGGTCCCTTTTTCATTATAATTACAGTCGCTGCATTTTGGAATTCCTGCAGACCTGGCGGTTTCCTTTCTGACAGATAGTTTGCAATTAATGAAGGGAAGAGGGTTTTATTTTCCTTCCAAATCAGCCAAAGAATTGATTTTCTATGTGACAGATGGAGAGAGAGAGAGAAAAGGTTAAACTGTTCCATTTTCTTCTGTACACTTGAGTGACAGAGTTGTCTAATATGAAAAGGATTGAAGCTTCATAGAAAATAAATTGGGTGAGCAGGAAAGATTTGGGCTTCCTTGTATCTAAGAATGAGTGGATTACCCCTGTTTCTGTTCCTTCATTTTTCTGTGGATTCACTCCACTTCTCCCAAATTCCAGTGTAATTATAGCTTTATGAAGGAGACATGGGTGAAAAATCACTTTTTAAAATAATAATAATAAAAACCCTCAGAGCCACACTATTTGTAAAAGAAGTCACACAGTGGAAACAATGCCCCTGTGCTGGAATCAAACTTTAAAAACTGGGAGGAAAATCCATGGTGGCATAGGAAACTTATGGCAATATTTTATATATTAGTGTCTGGGAAGGAAGACTGGTATTGCCATTTGGGTTCGCCCGTAACACACTTGTAGCTTTAATTTCTATAGATACAGAAATAATTGTTGTATACCAGGGTCCTGAAGCTGAAGTCCCTTCTGTCGGCATCATGCCACATATAGGGTGTGATGTCAGAGATGGAGGGGGGGGGATATGTGGCCGGAGGAGGCGAGGAAGCAGGAGGATGATTCAGGGCAAGGGGCCAGTGGTTTGTGGGGTTCTGTCTGCATTGAATGCCACTCATGGCCAATTTCAGGGCCACTGCTGCCTTGCTCTGGGGGCTAGCAGTGCTGGCATGCAGAACAATCATGTTGCCATGTTATCGGAAGCACCACAAAAACAATCAATGTCCAGAGCAGGGGTGGAGGAAGGGGGTGTGGTGGGGGTAGACTGCCCCGGGTGTCTTTGCTGAGGGGGGTGACATTGTTGGGATGTGTCCAAGGAAACAGGGGCAATTGGCAGGCCCCCAGCTGGCTCCAGCCCACTGGCCGGCAGCCAGGCAATCTCCGGTCCTTGGATCAGCATGTAACTGCGACTTGAGCTTCAGAAACATTCAGAAACTGAGCACGCAAGCCAGCAGAGAGAGAAAAACTCATCGCAACAGAAGGGCAGATAGAGGCTGTGTAAAGCGTATTTACAGGTATTTCATTCAGCATCAGGACAAAGGGAAGAACATGTCTTCTCCCCTTCGTGTCCAAGCAAGCAGCATAAGCAAAAGCTATGCACACAATGGAAGTTCCCAGCAAGCTGTGCTGGAAGGTAAACAGACATGTGACATACAACAACTCCACACATCTGTTAAGGTAGAACGGAATATCGTAACAGACATGTGGTGTGTCGCCGCCCACGACCTCCAAGCCTACCCCGAGCTGTCGGGAGAAGAGGGGAGCTGCGCCGCTTTGCATATGATCTGCCGCTGGTCCAGAGACCCCCACATCCCTAGAAGCAGTGCTTAGAATGGCAAAACAAACTCTGCCAGTTTGTAGAAATGGCAAAATTGACAGCAATTATTAGAGGCCACTCAAATCAGAGAATAATTAGAGAGTGGGTTGGAGTGAAGGAATACATGAAAAAATATGGTTCTGGAATTGAAATATTAATAGAGAATGTGTAAAACATGCAGGGGTAAGCAAGAAATAATAATAGAATCAATTGAATAATTATTAAATTATAACAACACAACAAGATGGAAGAAGTGAAATATTGAGATCACACATGGGTGAAGGGGAGTGGGGGTATATGGGAACCTATAAGATCGTTTATAATATAATTTGTTAATTGCGTTGTATTTACATATAGCAAAGGGAAGCCTAGAACAATTAGATATATTTTAATTTAGGTAATCTGTGTAATAAGCTTATGTTAGAAAATGTATATGGATTTTGAATTTGATGTTTGTAAAATTATTTTGGTTGAAATATTTTTTTAAAAAAAAATTAAAAGAAGAAGAAGCAGTGCTCATGCCAGAACATAATTTTCACCCCGAAGGAAAAAATGCCAAAATTCGGAGGGGGTGTTTCCTCTCCCATCCTGATCCTCTCTTTCTTGATCTGACCATTATTAAAACCTTCCTAAGCACAATCCCCGCCTCTTCTCTGCTGGCGGCAGACAAAACAGCAGCACCTGCTGAGCGGCGTTTGCCAACGCGTTTCTTTTGCTTATTCACTTGCAGAATGCGGCGCCTTTCCACGTGGCAGTGCGAGACGACAACTGCATCGCCGTTTCCCTCGAAGCAGCGGACGTGGTGAGCTCGTACTCGGTGTACGTTGTCAAAATCACCGGCGAATCTAAGAACTATTTTTTCCAGTTTGACGAATTCAACAGCACTTTACCTGCTCCTGTGGTTTTCAATGCCTCGTACCATGGCCTTTATTACATAGTGACTCTGGTTGTGGTGAGCGCAAACATGGTTTCCAAGCCAGCGAGATCAATCACGGTGTTAACCAGTAAGTAACTTTTAAAAATCAAAGTGAACGCGTTTGAACTTGGGCAGTATGCCTTTTTGCAGTTTATTGGTGCCAGACATGGAATGGAGAGAGGAGCCAGTGAAGTGCAGTGGTTTAAGTGTTGGACCAGGGTTTAAATCCCCACTCAGTCATGAAGTTCACAGGGATATCTTGGGCTGGTCACTGCCCTTCAGCCTATCCTCCCTCACAGGGTTCTTGTGGGGATTAAATGAGGAGGGGGAGAACCATATGTGCCCCTTTGAGCTATTTGGAGAAAAAGATGGAATAAGAATGCGATTAATTAATAAGAGGCAGGCATCCCGAGAAGGAAAATTCACAGCACCTCCTGAGAGCCAGCTGCCATGAATATCACAACTGAAATAATAGGCAGGCACACCAGCAGACCTACCAGTCTGCCTTCCTTATGCCTCTGCGTTTTCTGAATCCATGGACATTCATGCGTTTGATTCTAGGGTGGCTTACCTGTGTCTTTTGGGGGTGTTGCTGGACTTCAACTCCCATCAGCCCCAGCCAGGAGGGGCACTAGTCAGAGATGCAGTCCCTCAACATTGGTAGAGCCACAGTTTAGCCACCCCTGGCTAGTGATCCATTTGGTCCCCACCCCCTGGACTGGGGTTGCTATTTACATATGTAGATGCCAATGTCACCTTTCATCTCTAGGCAAAGAGGAGCTAGGGAATCTGCTCTGGAGGGTAGGATCTGTGCCAATGACGTCAAGTTACAGGAAAGGAGATTCGGACTTAAGGTCAGGAAAAGCTTTCTGGCAGTAAGAGTTGTTCGACATTGGAACAGACTCCCTAGGGAGGTTGTGGATTCCCTTCCTTTTAGGTTTTTAAGCCAATGGTTGGGTGGCCATTTGTCATGGGTGCTTTGGTTGAGATTCCTGCACCCTTGGGTCTCTTCCAACATTATAATTCTATGATTCTGGGGCTGAGGAAGGATCACAGGGGTAACACAGTGCCTGGATTTGATTCCTCTTCCCTCCCCATCCCTTTCACCTTGTGTGCCATGTGGTTTGTTTGTTTGTTGGGCTGTGGGCAGGGACTGTTGTGTTTCAACCGATTGCATGCAAGTTCCCCCTGATAGCCTTTCCCCCCACTAAAGAGTACAGGCTCTCCAAATAAATAAATAAATGAAATAAATATGAAATGCCCCCCCCCCTCAGTCTGGACCTGGATTCCCCCACATGCCTGCCTGCTATTTATTAAACAAAAACCACGCGCCCTGGAGTCAAACACGTCTAGTTTGGCCCACAGATGGAGAGAAAGCAGTGACAGGAGTAGAAAAATCCTGGCGGAAGACGGTTTGAAAAGACACGAGGAATGAGAAGGGGAAGGCGGAAGGGTTTCCCCAGTGTTCGCCGACACTCGGCGGTTAAAACACCACCTTCTTTATATTGCGATCCTTAATTACCATTGTTGTCAACGGCAACCCGTGCGGCAGTCGAAACTCGCCGTGCCATATGGCTCCCTGTCTGCTAAAGATCACTGGCGTATGGAGACCATATGAGAGCATATTGACAGAGCGCATGCCTAATTGTGGCTGGGCCTTACAGACTGGCGTGCCACTTCGATCCAGGCGGGCGTCGTGCTCCCAGCCCATCCGCCGGCGTCGGCTGCCGTGGGACACAGCAAACGAGGCCCCCAAAGACGCCTCACTCTGCGAAATAAGCATCACCGAAGCAATTGGTCCCTTAGTTGTCCTTTGACATTTCACCACAGTTCCTCGGGGCCTATTGATGTTTGCAGGAGAGCTGCTCATCACTGTCACATCTCTCTTCAGGGAAAGAGCGCACAAGTCTTCAGAACAATGGCTTGAATGTCAGCCTAATATGCATGAGGCTGGCGCTTTCCTGCTTAGGAGTTGCATGGGCATCTGGTACATGCTATCTTTAACTACCTTCACTATGAGTCGAGATAGATCCTGTTCACATTTTTCTTGGGTGTTAATGCTGGGTGCGTGGAAATTGCTCAGAATAGAGTCATGGAAATGTAGAGTTGGAAGGGACCACGATTGTCATCTAGTAAAACCTGCAATACAGGAATCTTTTGCCCAACGTGGGGATAGAACCCACAACACTAAGATTAAGAGGTTTAGGCTGTCAGGAGGTTGGTCAGTTAAGCCTCCCCTGAAAAAGAGGAGGTGTCTCAATAAATAAAAGAGTGGAAGGAGGGCACAGGTTTGCATAACATCTGCCGGGGCTGATTTAATAATAATTATAATAATAATTTATTATTTATGCCCCGCCCATCTGGCTGGGTTTCTCCAGCCAATCTGGGCGGCTTCCAACAAAACACTAAAATACAATAACCTATTACACATTAAAAGCTTTCTTAAACAGGGCTGCCTTCAGATGTCTTCTAAAAGTCTGGTAGTTGTTGTTCTCTTTGACATCTGGTGGGAGGGCGTCCCACAGGGCGGGTGCCACTACCGAGAAGGCCCTCTGCCTGGTTCCCTGTAACTTGGCTTTTCACAGCAAGGGAACTGCCAGAAGGCCCTCGGCACTGGACCTCAGTGTCCAGGCAGAATGATGGGGGTGGAGATGCTCCTTCAGGTATACTGGACCGCGGCCGTTTAGGGCTTTAAAGGTCAGCACCAACACTTTGAATTTCCATGTACAGGTGCCCTTGTGGAAAGGATTAGCGCAACAGACGTAGGATGCCATGCCTCTCACCTTGGCAGGGGAGAGTGTGACCAGGTGACTTGAGGGTCTGCTCCATCTGCTGTCCAGGGGCTCGCTGTTGATGACAGGCAGTTCTGATGCCCTTACCTGCTCTCCCTTTTTAAAGGTTTATTTCTCTTTAAACTGGGCTCACACCAGACAGCCCTTCAAATGGAGGGCTCCCACAAGTAGAAGCCACAGGACTGCCCTAGCTGGCAGCCAGCTTGAGTGTTATGTAGCATAGTGAGAGACGAGAGAGAGAGAGAGAGAGAGAGAGAGAGAGAGAGAATATATGTTCTTTCCATCCCAATTGCTTCTTGCTGAAGTCTCCCTCCCACCCCCAGGTTTCAATCAGCACTACAAAGCTCCTTTCCAGGCTGGCTGGTTCCCAGGGGGGGAGGGAGCACTCTTATTAGGGTCTGGGGAGACACTGTTCTATTTTGATCTCTCTCTCCCCCCCCCCGCCCCATGTGCATATGAGGAACTCTAAGAAAATAAAATACCTAGGGAAAGTTCCTCTATTTATTCCCAATAATTAAAATTTGACTAGGCACTGGATTCTTAATTATCTGCTCTCTCTGCAATGCCTTAGAGAGGTGGGGAAGCAATATTAGTGGAGCCTAACAGAAGTTGTGCTCAGAACTATACCATAGCATACCTTCGCCAGTACCAAACCGTTGGTTTAATGAAAACAACATGCCATATAATAGTAATTTTTGGAAGCCCAGAGACCCATCCTTTGCCAATTAAAACGCACAATAAAACACTCCCGTCGAAACAACTCAGTAATCAAATCAGGTTGGCAGATTAAAAGAATGTCCTTGCAAATATCCCATGAGCTGTGGGGTAATATGTAGTAGCTTGGCAAAGATTTCTGTTCTCTAGTGGTTCAGTGATAGCAAGAACAAAAAGGGTTATTGTTGGTTTTTTTAAAAAATGAAACACATTAAGTTAGGTATTCCTAACTCAAGTGTAGAGTTGGGCTTGCATATGCAGTTCCCCCCTGTGTATGAATAATGAGGTACAGGAGGTCATTGGATCTATTCGCCAATCCCCAAATTCACCATTTTGCATTCAGCTCCACCTCATCTGTTATTTTGCACCTGCCTCCAGCTGGTGGATCTCAAGGTTCTCTGCAGAAATGAAGAACATTCAGCCAGCCTAAAGATTGCCCATGCAATTTTGGTTTCCATAAGGCAGTGAAAACCACTGTACTATGTGCTCCAAAGACTGCTTACTCCAAGTTTGTTGTGCATGAAGTCAAATGTGACACCCAGCTCAGAGGTGGAGAATGTGCTTCAGCTGAAGAAGCTTCAGGTTCTGTCTCTGACATCTCTGGTTAAATGGGAGAGGCCCTTGCCTCACATCCTGGAGAACCACTGCCAGTCAGAGTAGGCATTATTGATCCAGGTGGACAAGTTGCCTAACGAGGTATAAGACATCTTCCTCTGAGAGCATGGAGGTTGCAGCCAAGCCTGTGAATTGGCTTTAGGCATCAAGGAAGAAAATCCCCAGATTTATTTTTCTTTGAATGAAATCTGCAGCATGAATCTCGGCCAATTTTATTGATGCTTTCAAGATACTGCTTTCGTTTTTGGAAAGCAATTTAAAACTTTGCTACTAAAACAACATGCTTGCATCATCGCTCTTTCTCCATCTAGAGGCTTAGGTTTTAAGGCAAGCCTAAAAATATAGTCGAGTCTGGGTCAGATCAATGCAATTTACCGTATTTTTCGCTCTATAACACGCTCCCAACCATAACACGCACGTAGTTTTTAGAGGAGGAAAACAAGAAAAAAAAATTCTAAACGAAACAGTGGATGTATGATTTTTTGGTTCATGCTGTGGCCACAGACATGTGATCTGACGGTGAGTTTGGAGTAGCCCAATGCAAAAATCCTGAGGATCCATGTGGATCCATGCTTTGTAACCATGTTTTTGCACCACTGCGGCCCCAGGCAACAGTGGGTGCGTGATTTTTTTGGTGCAAGATGTAGCCATGGACATGCTATGTGATCTGATGGTGAATTTGGGGTGACCCAGTGCAAAAATCCTGAGGATCCATGTGGATCTGTGCTTTGTAACCATGTTTTAAGTGGGGAGGGAAGGAAAAGCACTCAAGGGACAAGGAACACGTGTGGGGTGGGTAGAGAAGGATGCTGTTAATAATGCAGAAGAGGGATATAAGAGGAGAAGGCTCTTATAAGAGGAGTGGGGAGGAGAGAGGGACAGAGAGCCTGCTTACCGGACAGGAGCCGCTTACACTCGTGTAAGTGGCTCCTCTCCTCTCCCGCTTTGCTCCTTTAAAGAAGCAGGCTCTCTGTCCCTCTCTCCTCCCCACTCAGCGACTCTTCTCCCGCTTTGCTGTTTCAAAGTGAGCCACGGAGGAGGGAAGGAAGGGGAACCATGGATCCTCTGCTCACGACTGCAGCAGATCCCCCCCGCCACCCGTAGGCATTCCCTCCATAATACGCACAGACATTTCCCCTTACTTTCTAGGAGGAAAAAAGTGAGTGTTATGGTGCAAAAAATACGGTATTTCTTTTTTCGTTCTTTTCCTTCCCCCCTCCTCTCAGCTCTGTATCGATCTTGCTCCTTGTCACAGAGCTGATCACACTGAGAGAATAAGAATGATATGTTTATGAGAAGGGGAATAGCAGCCTGCTGTAAATACACTTCTTCCTCTCTTTGGGAAGAGTTGGAAAACAAATGTATTCTTCAACTGGGATATTGACTGGAGCGAACCACCAGTGTGATGGAATGCATAGTGTTGGACACAGATTGCAAAGGTGGTTGCAAAGAGAATATTGCAGGCCTAGGGAGCCTGTGGCCCTCCAGATGTTGTTGGAGTCAACTACAACTCCCATCAGGCCTAACCAGTATGGGCAGTGGTCAGGGATGATGGGAGCTGGGGTCCAGTAACATTTGGAGGGCCACATGTTCCCCATCCTTGAGCTGTAGGATAGCTCCCAAGTATGACTCCACCCATTCTTCCTTGCTGCTTCTTAAAAGACTCCCCTCATTCTACTTCATGTCTAGAACCCCTTGTTTGAATTCAGTGCAAACTTCAGTGGCTCATAATGCTCACCTAAAGTAATAGGCGAGCACTGCAAAATCCCCAAATCCTTCTCCATTTCAGATTAAAAATCCAAGCCGGAGAAGAATTCCTGGCTTAATTCACTTGCTACGCACCCAGTCCTAAAGAGAACTTTGCCTGGCTAGGGCTTCTCCTCCTGGGATCTCTCCTAGCCATACAGAGCTACCAAATACCTCCATAGCTGTGGAAGCTGTTGATGTGAGGGGAGCTTAGCCCATGAAGGACCCTTGAGGCAAGAGAGTCACCTGTGGTGGGTGAGTTTTCCCCACCAAACCGATCACTTTTCCCCCATTGTGTGCCATCTCTGTTTTCTGTTGGCTTGTAAATGAGTTGACCCATCACCCCAATCTGTGTTTGGAGGTGATTTCCAAGCCAATTTGATCTGAGCCATTAGCCGTTGGCCCAGTTCTGCTCCAATGTGTCACCGTCAGTCTTTACCTCTTGGTGCCTGTGATTGGAAATGTAGCCTCTTGATTGCAACGGTGGATTATTAATTGTTGTCAGTCTGTCTTCCAATGCACTGATAAAATGGGAGAAGAGGTAACAGGGGTTAATTCAGCAAATCCCTCCTTTGGCCCTTTTGTCTGCCCTGATTCCTCACCCAAAGCAGCACAAGCAAGCAGTACTATTGCAAAGGAAGAATGGGAGAAAGGAGCTGTTTGTCAGGGTCCAGCAGAGTTTAACAGTACAGTATGAACAGCCCAGCGATCAGGCTCCAAAGTAACCTCTGGCAGTCAAGGCACCAGAGGCAGACTGCATGGGCTAAGTTGGCCAGGATCAGGCCTTGTTTCGCACCTTCTCTCATAGACCAGTTGCTCAGACTACAGAATCAAATTTAGGAGAGTTATATAGTAAAGGTAAAGGGACGCCTGACCACTAGGTCCAGTTGTGGCCAACTCTGGGGTTGTGGCTCTCATCTCGCTTTACTGGCCGAGGGAGCCGGCGTACAGCTTCCGGGTCATGTGGCCAGCATGACTAAGCCGCTTTGGGAGAACCAGAGAAGCGCACGGAAACGCCGTTTACCTTCCCGCTGGAGTGGTTCCTATTTATCTACTTGCACTTTGATGTGCTTTCAAACTGCTAGGTGGGCAGGAGCAGGGACCAAACAACAGGAGCTCACTCCGCCACGGGGATTCGAACCGCCGACCTTCTGATCGGCAAGTCCTAGGCTCTGTGGTTTAACCCAAAGTGCCACCCGGGTCCCATCAAGTTCTTATATAGTGCCTTTCAAATATAGACTCATGGAACTGTAGAGTTGGGAGGGGCCCCCGTGCATTTATAAAGAAGCACACTTTCTCCTGGGCTGCAGTACAACAACCACAACAAAACCCGGTCTAGCCTCCTCCTCTGATATTGGGGGTCTTACATCTGATGAAGTAGGGTCCGCTGGCTTGAAAACTGATGCCATTAGTGGTCAGGGGTCCCTTTCAGTGCTGCAAGGGTCTTGTTGCTTTTGCTGAAGCACATTAACACGGCTGCTCTTCTGGAAATCGACCTTGAACAGTGAGTGCGCGGGGTACTTAGCTACTGAGATATTTCCAAAAGACGCAATGTTGAATGCAGCATCTCCAAATGCTATTCATTAATCCATGTTGATTTGCTGGCTGCAGCTAGAAAGAAAACAGAAGAAGGGAGAGCTTAATGATGCCTCCCACTTGATCTAATCATCACTTAATTAAATCAAAAGATCAGGGCCAAAATAAAATTGTAATAAAAATGAATACCAAGCTTGCATTCCTCATCTGATTTCTTCTGGGAAGAAGTAACAGGGTAATGCAATCGCTCAGTCTATAAAGTTGCCGTAATTAGAAAATTGCAATGTGATTATGGCATAGGAAGGCTTCATCAGGCAGAAAGTCATGAAGGATAGCTAAGCCCCATGTGCCTTCAGGCAATAGTAGAGGCAAGCTGAATCCAGGAGGAGTCCCAAGGCAGACCACCATGCCTGATCCTACCTAGAAAATTGTCTGAACCTAACCCTGTCCAAAGGTTTCACTGCATCGGTTACTTTATAATTTGCCTTTCCTCTGAAGACATCACGGCAGTGTACGTGGTTTATCCTGACCCAAACTTTATCCTCACAACGTCCCTGTGGGGTTTGTCAGGCTGAGGGAGTGCAGGCCCAAGGTCTTCTGGTAAGTTTCACGGCTGGGTAGGGATATGCACCAGTTCTAGGAAAACACTCTAACCACTACACCATGCTGTCATTATGTTGCAAAATGTCAGCTGAAACATGGCTCTTGCAATTCACACCTCTGAATTTGGTGAATAATATGTACAAAGCTGCATTTATGAGGGGAAAGTGTGCAAAAATATATTAGGGGGAACTTGCTGTGTATATTAGACAAAACTGCAGACCGAAACATCAATATTAGGAGAGTTTTCCTAAAGGCGTGTGGTTATTTTTTATTGTTGCAAACTATTGTGAAAATGTGGCGAACTGAATTCAAGACTGAAAATGTGAGAGGTGGTGATAAACTGAAATTGGCAGACTTGTCCATCCCTACCTGGGGTGATGGAACATTAGAGGCATTGGGGAAAATTAAAACGGAGGCTTTCCCCCATCCAGTTCCTGGAGCTCTTCTGAATGCTGGGATGCCACATTTGAGAGATGTCCCATGGCAGCATCAGGTGTGTGCCATGCTGGGGGGCACTGGGACCCCAAGAGCTGCCCAAGGGTGCCACATGCTGGTCACTGCAGGCAATGGAACAATTCACACACTTACCTTTTACACACTGAGAAATTAAGTCATTTATTTTCATGTGCGACTAAGACCCCAAGTCACTGCAAAATAGTCATCTCTTTCTAAAAGTATAACCTGATTATCTTGAGAACTAAAATGCTTTCTTTCTTTCTTTCTTTCTTTCTTTCTTTCTTTCTTTCTTTCTCTCTCTCTCTCTCTCTTTCAGAACCTCTACCTGTAACCAGTGTTTCCATCTATGACTATAAACCATCACCAGAAACTGGGGTGCTGTTTGAGATCCAGTATCCAGAGAAGTACAATGTTTTCACCCGTGTGAATATAAGCTACTGGGAAGGGAAAGACTATCGGACCATGTTATATAAAGGTAGGTGGAATCTTAAACAATGGTAGTTGAGGTCAGAGCCAAAAATGAGGAGACAGAGGCAGGACAGCCCCTTTTTCTCTCCCTCTCTTTTTGATACCTCTCCCTTGCTTCTCTGCCTCCCTGTCTTCCTCCACCGCTCACCAGACCTCAGACAGAAGTCTGAGCAGATCACTTGCAGGGGGCTTCTCCCTCCACCTTAGATCCCTCCATCCATCTGGTCTCCTCCTGAACATTTTCCCCTCCTGACCTTCTCTCCCTTTGGACTCCACCCAACCACAGCAAATTAGGCTGTGATCCAAAAGTTCCCTTCCCCTGGGGATATATCCAATTGTCTTCACATACAGAACAGTCGGGTAGTGCTGCCTGCCTACACCCTTCTCTGTTCCACCAACAACTCCCAGCCCTTTCTGTCCCTGGGCCCTATATGCTGACCTTCTCTCAAACCTTTGGGCAAGTTAGAATGTTTATAGCCATTCCATAGCACCTCAGCAGCTGATCCAATGGCCAGGGAGATCTCCTTTCAATATGATGCAACGTTAGTACAGAAACATCTTGTTTTGCCCAGATACTCATCACCTACTGGAGGTGTAACGTTCACATGAAGCTGGAAATAAGGGGCAATTCACAAAGCCAGCCATTTCATTAGCTGATTATCCTGTTGTGATGGCATTATTGCTTTATGTCAAGACCTGGGGGATAAAGTTCCTGCTAAGGGTGTCATTGAACAAATACTCCCCCTACAGACCATGCTTCTTACTACCCATTACATTAGCTCGATGATCAAGAACAGGCATAGGCAAACTCCGACCCTCCAGATGTTTGGGACTACAATTCCCATCATCCCTCGCGAACAGGACCAGTGGTCAGGGATGATGGGAATTGTAGTCCCAAACATCTAGAGGGCCGGAGTTTGCCTATGCCTGATCAAGAACATCCTTTGCATGCTGAAGGTCCCAGATTCAACCCCCAACATCTCTAGGTAGGGAATGTCCCCTTCCTGAAGCCCTGGAGATCTGCAACCAATCAGCATCAACGGTATTGAATAAGATGGGCCAATGGTTTGTCTCAGTGTAAGGCAACTTCCTATTTTCCTAAGCAAGAATCGTTTTCTGTCTTTTGTTCAGCTGAATAGCTGAAGAAGCTGGAAGGTTACTATTAATTATTATGGGTCATTATTTGGGGGAGGCCTGGAGCTCTGTGCTAGAGCATCTGCTGAATATGCAGAAGGACTCAGGATCATCCCCTGGTATTTCCAGGTAGGATGGAGAAAGACCCATATCCAAAACTGTGGAAAACTGGTTGGTGCCAGTCAGTCCATAGGGAACACTGAGGTACGAAGCAGACAAGTCACCTAAATAACTGCTGTGAATGGGGGGGGGAGTAGATTGCAGGTATGGGGGGGGCATTGATTCAGAATAGGACCATACCATGGTGCGGGGATTGTGGGCTTTAACACTTTGCCCCTCCCCACTGTAACTGTAAAGAAACCCCCACAACTTTGCATCTTCGGTTTGCTCCTTGCAAGTTTTGCCCCTTGGCGATTTGTTAGGAATGAAGAAGCTTTTATATCATCCGTTCCTCGAAATGTTTCGTGTCACACCGTACATAATAATATAATAATAATTTATTATTTATACCCCGCCCAGCTGGCTGGGTTTCCCCAGCCACTCTGGACGGCTTCCAACAGCATATTAAAATACAATAACCTATTAAACATTAAAAGCTTCCCTGAACAGGGCTGCCTTCAGATGTCTTCTAAAAGTCTGGTAGTTGTCTGGTATGTTGCCACTTGCAATTCCTTTGCCTACTCTCACGTTTATTTTCCTGGGTCTCGCTTCTAAGTACTTTTGACAGCCAGGAAGAAAAGGGTGGAGGCACGGAGTGGGGGCAGGAGTGTAGAAATGTTGTTGAATGCACACATATCCCGTATCTCTGAGACTGTGCCAAGCAATACCTGTCTCCTTAAGGCTGTGACGTTGGGTCGTCTGGCTCATGTAATCCATGGCATTTGTTCACCACCCTGCAGATTTCTTTAAAGGCAAAACCGTTTTCAACCACTGGCTGCCGGGAATATGTTACAGCAACATCACGTTTCAGCTGGTGTCTGAAGCGACGTTCAGCAAAAGCACACTGGTGGAATACAGCGGGGTGAAACACGAAGCAAAACAACACCGAACAGGTAGGACAAGTGTGTCGTGTGCACATTGCGTGGACAGGCGGAGTCCCCCAAACCCTGGGCGGCCCCCCCTCATGTGGAAAACGACTCAAGACAACATGCTATGGGATTAAATTGGCCACAGCTTTATTATATTTCAGATGTGGGTAGACCTTGGCTCAGGCATTGGGCATTTATCCCTCCCCAGTCCCCAGCCAGGGATCTAGGGAACATCAGGGTTATCCAGTGTGTGTGTGTGGGGGGGATGGGCCGGCTCTGGAGAACATATGTTCAAGCAGAGATAGCCGCCCCCGTTACGCCGGCGTCGCAGGGGAGAGCAATGACAACCTCGCAGCGCATGGTCAAAGCCTCCCCTCAGAAAACCCTTTAACGGGGAACCCTGGTACCACTGCCGCAAAGAGGAAGGGGGCACGCCCCCCCCATTCAGGAAGATAGACTAAAGGATTCCGCCCAAGGCCTGATACCGCCAAAGTTGTGACGTTTTGCTATGGGAAAGGCAAAACTTGCCAATGCAGGGGAATTCCTTTCCGGCTCTTCAACAGCAACCTTGACGTAGCAGCACCCGCATACCTGCAAAATAAGACTTAACTGAGGGTGGGTAGGGTGGGAGAAGCTCTGGAGCCAAGTGAGGATTCCCAGGTAAGATTCTCCCTCTATTGTGTGGGCAGGTAGTCCCTCCCCTACCTGGCCTAGTCTCCTTGGCAACGCTTCCCCCAGGCGGGATTGGACAACTGATTGAGGTAGGTGAAGACCTCCAGGTATCCCACCTGGGGAAGGCGAAGCCAAGCCTGTGCTGATGGAGCCGCACAGGGTCCAGGGGCTGTGCGCGTCCACGCAAAGGGCGCCCCCTGTTTAATCTGGGGAACAGTCATTGTATCCAGATACAATGCATTGTCCCCATAAGCAGAAGCCTCTTCCTTTGGCCTGAGAGAAACCCTGCTGTGAACCTGTGCTTTAGAGGCCTCCCCAAGACCTGTACCCATAATGCCAGGGATGGGGCAGACAGATGCTGTGGCCCTCTAAGTGTTATTAGACTCCAACTCCCATCTGCCTTAGCCAGCATGGCCAATGGGCAGGGATGAGGGGAGTTGTAGTCTTGAGGACGTGGAGGCTCCCCATCACAGGCCAAGCATGATCTATTATGATGGGATATTAGCTCCACCCAAGGCATGATGGAGAACAGCAGCAACTGGGAAAAGATAGACATAATATTTTACAAGGACAGGAAGAAACATCACGGACAGAGTAATTGTAACACACAGGAAGAATAAGGATATAGTTTGAATGCTTCACCTGTAGCTTTGTAAATCATTTAATGTGTCAATATGAATGGAAGTCGTTAATACTGTAGTTGTTATATAACGTGTGAACACCTCTTTGTTAAAGTATTGAGAAGGGAAAGGCAGGTCAGACAGTTTAAGGCATTTTGAGTTAATTTGGAATTTATCTGCTATTTTGTGTGTGTGCCATATCTATGTTCATGATAATCTTAGGGCAGTAGTTCCCAACTGTTTTAGTATGGCGAACCACATGTCCAAATTTACTGGGTATGGTGACCCATTAATTTATTATCCCATGAATTTTGGGCTATAGGTCTTGGGCAGCTACTGATTGTGTGCATTTGAACTACAAATTTGCTTATTTTATGATCATTACTTGAGGCATCCAAGGAAAAAAACCCTGTTTAATGCCCCTATTAATGTGGAATTCATTAAAATATGTATAGTAATTACAAGGTTATTCAGAGTTTTGCTCCTGGGAATGTAAGCACACCATCTGATTGCAGGCTATTTGAGGTTCACTTCTAAAGCTTTGTGACCCAAAGTACTTGTGGGTTGGGATGCACAGGTTGAGAAACAGTGATCTAAGAAATGAAAATTGATGAGTATTATTTATTATTCTATTTTATGCATGATACGCAAATGGGAAAAAAGTGTTCTATCTTTTCCAGTTCCCTACCCTCCTCGAAACATTTCTGTGCGTATCATACATATGAACTTCAGTGAGAACTGGGAGGAGCAGAGTGGAAGTTTCCCCGAAGAGCCGTTCTTGGGGACGCAGAAGACAATGCGACAGGACAAAGCCACCCAGATTCTGGATGATCTCCCTGAGCTCCCAACTGCGAACACTTCCTATACGTGGCCCGATTACCGCTACAATAGCAGCGACTATGAAACCACGTCTCAGCCCGACTGGTGGATTAACGAGCCCGACTCCCCAGAGAATGAAGACGAGTTTGTCAACGCGATCCCAAGAGATTATGAGAGCGTCAACCCCACCGAGGAGTTTGGGGGCCCTACGCCGGAGCCGTCCTCGTTCCTCCCAGTGAAAATGGTGCTGAGTTGGCTGCCTCCCAAACCGCCCACGGCGTTTGATGGCTTCCATATTAACATTGAGAGAGAAGGTAAAAGGTCACACGGCACTGTTGAGAATTATGGCACCAAGGTTGGCATTGAAACCTGGTATCATTGGGCCCTAACAGGTCTCTTAGTTGTTGCCTGTCCTGTCCTTTCTCTCACCTATCCTTTAATTGTGTTCTGGGCTGGCATTCCCGAATAGTACTATAGTGGTACCTTGGGTTAAGAACTTAATTCATTCTGGAGATCCGTTCTTAACCTGAAACTGTTCTTAACCTGAGGTACTACTTTAGCTAATGGGGCCTCCTGCTGCCACCGTGCAATTTCTGTTCTCATCCTGAAGCAAAGTTCTTAACCCGAGGTACTATTTCTGGGTTAGCAGAGTCTGTAACCTGAAGTGTCTGTAACCCGAGGTACCACTGTAGATAGCAGAGCTGGCCCACCCATGAGGCGGGATGAAGCAGCTGCCTCAGGTGGTGTGAACAAAAGAGGTGGTTCCCCGCGGGAACCATACCCACTCACCCTGCCACCAAAGCCACCCAGGTAAGGGAGGTTTTGGCGGCAACAGAGCAGCACAGCTTTCCTTTGCTCAGCTTTGCCACCTGTCTCCCCCAGCCTTAGAGTTGGAGAGGGACTGGTGCTAGTGCTGAGTCTTGCTGAGTTGGGAAGGGGCTCCTTAAGGAAAAGTGCTTTCTGGAGCTCCCACCCCAATGAGGTGGCAAGGCTTTGCAAGGGGCCTCCATCATGGAGGTGGCAGGGGGTGTTTTGCGGGTGGCGCTGTGGGTAAAAGCCTCAGTGCCTAGGGCTTGCCGATTGTCAGGTCGGCGGTTCGAATCCCCGCGGCGGTGTGCGCTCCTGTCGCTCGGTCCCAGCGCCTGCCAACCTAGCAGTTCGAAAGCAGCCCCGGGTGCAAGTAGATAAATAGGGACCGCTTACTGGCGGGAAGGTAAACGGCGTTTCCGTGTGCGGCACTGGCTCGCCAGATGCAGCTTTGTCACGCTGGCCACGTGACCGGGAAGTGTCTCCGGACAGCGCTGGCCCCCGGCCTCTTGAGTGAGATGGGCGCACAACCCCAGAGTCTGTCAAGACTGGCCCGTACGGGCAGGGGTACCTTTACCTTTACCTTACCTCTAGATATAGTTTGGCCTAGCATCCATTTGATTCCTCCCAATACCCTAATGTGGTGTTTCACCATAGCATTGTGGGAAATTAATGGCTCGAACCAGCAGCCCAGGGCTGCACAGAATGATTCTGTTGCCACCTCCCACCCATCAATCTAGCCTGCCAGGCCCACTGCAAGAGAAGAGGGTCCACCAAGAGACATCTTGCAAAGACCCCCTTCAACCTGCAGGGTAGCAAAAGCACTGAGCAGCTCCAGAGCTAGCCTCGGATTTTTGTGGGCCTCACGGGCACACCTGTCATTGCTTCGCTCACTCCAGGTAGCCTCTAAACAGAACAAGAAGAAGCTCCAGAGACATTGCAGAAGCCTCTCCTGAACTCTTCTTCTGCCTCAGTTGTTGCTTTCACTTTCATGCTTTCATGATGACTAGCACCACTCGAAGAGATTTGTCCCATTTTTTAATATATCCCTTTGCTCCCATGCATCCACTCCAGCCGTTCATAACCCTCTCGAGTAATGTTACAAGATGGTAGAAAAAGTATATAAATAAAATTTTATTTATTTAATTATTATTATGTTACCAGAATTAATCCATTCCTTCAGCCCTGCGTTAGGGCACTGGGACATAATTCAGTTACCTCTGTCACTAGAAACCCTATAAGATTCCAACTAATTCACACCTCTTCTCTTGATTTTAGAGAACTTCACAGAATTCCTTACCGTTGGTGAGGACATTCACGAATTTGCCACGGATCTGAAAGAACCAGGGAAATACACAATTTCTGTTACAACATTCAGCTCTTCTGGTTCATGTGAAGTTCGGGAAAGCCAATCTGCCAAAACACTCAGTTTTTATATTAGTAAGTCTACACACAGTTATATAATATACATCAGTATCTGCAATAGTATATCTGGTCGGTACTTAAGTTCATCGATGCTAAATGTTACTTCTCCTTTGCCTTGTTTAAATCTGATTCTTATTGTTTTGGGTGCTTCCTCAAGCCTCAGCAGAAAGTTCTGGGAGCTGTAAAGACCAGGTTCAGCTTCCTTTGAATGAGAGAGCACTGGGGACCTTAAGGCAAGGATGGATTACCTGTGGCCCTCCAGATGTGGTTAAACTCCAGTTCCCATCACCCCAGGCAGCATGGCCAAAAGTCAGGGATGATGGGAGTTGTAGTCCAGGAATTTATGGAGGCCCACCTGTCCCCACCCCACTTTAAGGCATCAATGTTATATTTAGATTATCTTCAATAAATGTATGCAGATGTGATGGACTGACAAGCACAAAACTTTCTACTGCTTGTTCAGTTTTCAAGCATGCATGTGAAGAATCTTAGGCATACTTTTTTAAGGCAGTGGGTTGGATCCAGAATAACACTGGTGCTCAGTTAGTGGGGAGGACCAGCCTTTGAAGGTGATTTCTCCTTGTTTCTGGTGATGCTTTAGGTCCCACAGGGGAATTGATAGAAGAGCTCACTGAGAAACCTCAGAATGTCATAGCGACAGTGCTGACCTCTACCACGGCCTCGTTGTCCTGGACCACTTCACAGGAGACCACCAGCACTAGCACCATCATATCTGTCGTGTCCTTGACATGCCAGAAACAGAAGGAAAGTCAAAGGCTTGAAAAGCATTATTGCTCAGAGGTAAGCGCCTAGGACTTGCCGATCGCATGGTCGGCGGTTCAAATCCCCGCGGCGGGGTGAGCTCCCGTCGTTCAGTCCCAGCTCCTGCCCACCTAGCAGTTCGAAAGCACCCTTAAGTGCAAGTAGATAAATAGGGACCGCTTTATAGCGGGAAGGTAAACGGCGTTTCCGTGTGCTGCGCTGGCTCGCCAGAGCAGCTTCGTCACGCTGGCCACGTGACCCGGAAGTGTCTCCGGACAGCGCTGGCCCCTGGCCTCTTAAGCGAGGTGGGCGCGCAACCCCAGAGTCGGTCACGACTGGCCCCTACGGGCAGGGGTACCTTTACCTTTACCTTTAAGAGGAAGAAAACACCATTTTCCAGGCCATCACTGAGTTGCAGGTGGGACTGAACTGCATATTGCAAATTCGGGTTTGCACAGCTAATGTGGATTTGGCATTCTTATGCAACAAAGAATCGGGTTATTTGTGGTAAGGAAAGTGTCAGGAGTGTGCAGTGGAAACAACTGCTTGACCAGCATTGCATAGCATCCAGACATAGGAGGCTTCCTTATACGGAGTTGCACTGTTATTCCTACTAGTTTGGTACTCTCTTGAATGACTGGCAGCCATTCTCCAGGGTTTCAGGCAGGAGACATTCCCAGCTCTGCCTGGAGATGCTGGGAATAGAACCTGCAACCTTCTACATGCCAAGCAGATGCTCTGCCACCAAGCTATGGCACTTCCCTTAACCTCCCCACAATGAAATCATTGCTCCTCCCAGCACATGTGGCACAAAGAAATCAGGATGAATGCTCAGTAAAGGAGGCCATCTGGGGTGACCATGGGGCATGGAGGATATGGGCACAGTGAAGCTGTGTTTCTTGGGCTGCTTGAGCTTGACTCATAGGGTATTTCAGAAAGACTTCAGTGACATTGGTTTGGCTGTGAAGAAATCAGTGGCACTTCAATATATATCAGAGGATCAGTAAATCTAACTGAACACTGGGGAACTTTCTTCTGAGTAAACATGCACAGGAAAGCACTGTACGGCTACATTCCCAAGCACACTCAGCCAGGGAGAAAGTGCTATTGAATGCAATGGAACTTACATCTGAGTAAATAGGTGATTGGTCGTACAGTGGATGCTCAGATTGCAAACATGATACGTGCAGGATGCGCGTTCGCAACCTGCATCTGCATGTCTGCGCATGCGCGGTTGCGATACTGCGCTTTTGCGCATGCGTGACCACTGAAACCCGGAAGTAACCTGTTCCAGTACTTCTGGGTTTCAGCAGTCCGTAATCTGAAAAAACGCAACCTGAAGCGGCTGTAACCCAAGGTATGACTGTACTGTCAATCCAGCCCTACCATCAGGCAGCAGATTCTGAGTGGCATGAAAAAGCAGAAGTGTTATATAATTTATCTTTGTATTTTCACAGCTGGGGTGGCATGAAGCTCACATGCCAAAGTTAACATGGCTGGCCTTGGCTACTTTGCACCTTGATTCTGAGCAGGGAGGAGGCGCCATTTTCTGCTCTGCCTCAGGCAGCAAAAGGTCTTGAGCTGGCCCTGATGCTCAACATGCCTTCCTTTCCTTACACATGCTCTGTCTCATTTCTACAGGTGAATACAAGCAGCAGCTTTATCGAAAACCTGGTTCCTGGCGCTCAGTACCAAGTTGTGATTTACTTACAGAAGGGACCGCTGGTTGGGCCTCCTTCCAATCCTGTGACATTTGCCATTGGTAATGGGATACCTCTGCATACCTCTGTTGTTTTGGTTGCTTGAAACCAGACGTTTTAGGCAGAAGAATTATTGGTAGAAGAACGAGTGTGGTGCTGCTTCTGTAGAAGCCTGCAAGGCCCATGTGTTTTGTCTAAACATTGGTTTTGTCTGTATATCACAGAAAGCCATAAGTAACGCTTTGCCAGGAATGCGCCAATTCTGGCCACTTTGCTCCTCACTCCTCACACTAGGAGGAAACAAACCACCATCTCTGTCTTAGCATTGCATCTGGATTAGGGATTATAGTTTGTTTCCTCCCAGGGCAAGCAAGAGGAAAACTATGATAGCCATGGGTCCATAGCTTACTGATTATGGTTTGTTGGAGCAAAACAAACCATAATCTGTGCTTCAGTTTTAATTCTAAACCAAGGACTGTAGCATGTTTTCTTCATGTTCTACTCTGAAGGAGAGAGTCCAGATAAACCTGCTCACCGGTAATCCATTTATTCCCTTATACCTGTAGTTGGTGGGGAATGAGACCAAGGGTGTGCCTTATTTACCCAAGACATTAGCTTGGCCCCATTTGATCACATATATAGTACTGTATTATGGGACACAGGTGGCACTGTGGGTTAAACCACAGAGCCTAGGACTTGCCGATCAGAAGGTTGGCGGTTCGAATCCCCACGATGGGGTGAGCTCCCGTTGCTTAGTCCCTGCTCCTGCCAACCTAGCAGTTTGAAAGCACGTCGAAGTGCAAGTAGATAAATAGGTATCGCTCCGGCGGGAAGGTAAACGGCGTTTCCGTGCACTGCTCTGGTTCTCTAGAAGCGGCTTAGTCATGCTGGCCACATGACCTGGAAGCTGTACGCCGGCTCCCTCAGCCTATAGAGCGAGATGAGCGAGCAACCCCAGAGTTGGCCACGACTGGACCTAATGGTCAGGGGTCCCTTTATCTTTACTATAGTACTGTATGCCTCACCTCAGATTTTTGCATGATGACTAATAGCTCTTGTGGATGAGGTGGGAACGAGGTGACCCAGCTCTAGCAGAAACTCTATGTGCTGAATTGCAAAAGTATTAATAGCTTTCCATTTCTGTTTTACAGTGCCAACTGGGATAAGGGATTTAACACTTTACCCTTTGGGCCCTACTGCTGTGGTCCTCAGCTGGAACAGGCCTCTTCTGGGTGTTTTCCGGAAATATATTGTAGAAATGTTTTATTTCAACCCGTCAACAATGACCTCGGAGTGGACAACATACTACGAAATAGCAGCAACTGTCTCCTTAACGTCATCAGTGGTAAAGCACACTTGGATGCTGTAAATGTCTCTCACACGTTCATGCCCAAACTTCATCGTTCACACACAAACAAAATTAATCTGAAACAATATCCTTTTAAAATGGAACTTCATGTAAATACAGTCAATATGCTTAATAACAGAACTACATTCAACTATTTTAATCTGTGGAACTGGCACTATTACAAGAGGCACATAATACTCATTCCACACTGGTAATAAATCAACATTTTAGCGTGGCAGCACCTACACTTTGAAACCCCTGACCTATTGACATCAAGCAGTTGCCTTCATTGTAATATTTTGCCTGCTTAAAACATGTTTTTTGAGGGGCAAGCATATCCAGAGACTTAGAAATTACATGGGTTTCATTTCATTTTAGCTACTGTTGATTTTAATCTTCTTCTGGATATTTCAAAATACCTGTTTTAACAGTTTTTCATCCATGATATTTTATATTGTTGTAAAACTCTTGCCTTTTTATGACGGGGTGAGCTCCCATTGCTCTGCCCCAGCTCCTGCCAACCTAGCAGTTTGAAAGCACTCCAAAAAGTACAAGTAGATAAATAGGTACTGCTCCGGCGGGAAGGTAAACGGCGTTTCCCTGCACTGCTCTGGTTTCAGTGTTCCGTTGCGCCAGAAGTGGCTTAGTCATACGGGCCACGTGACCCAGAAAAACTGTCTGCGGACAAACGCCGGCTCCCTCGGCCTGTAAAGCAAGATGAGCGCCGCAACCCCAGAGTCGTCTGCGACTGGACTTAACCATCAGAGGTCCTTTACCTTTACCTTTTAAAATAAATACGTACAGCAATTCAATGCCAAACACTCTTTAGGAAGTCATAGGGATTCTAGGTCCAATCCAGAACGTAGCCTTAACATCGCTTTCAGATCCCACTTTTTCAGGTGCTAATTCTCTTTCTTCTATGCCTTTTCTTGTTTGCACATCTTTCAGAGAATAGGAAACCTTCTGCCTGCCTGGTATTACAACTTTCGGGTCACCATGGTGACATGGGGGGTCCCAGAACTGAGCTGTTGTGACAGTTCCACCATCAGCTTCATAACAGGTGAATAGAGCTTTGGAGAACCTTTCACAGTTTGTGTGTGTGGTTTTGCTCTTTAATATAAGACAACAATGTGGAGGCTGCTGGCCTCTAGATGGAGATGGATTACAATTGCCACCATCCCTGACTGCTGGCTATGCTGACTGGGACTGATGACATTTTGAGTCCAAAATACCAGGAGAAAAGCAGGTTATGGAAGGCTGGTCTAGTGGATAAGAGTATTGGATTAGGATCTTTGATAATAGGAAGAAACCATTGGGCCTGCAAACCACTGTAGAACTTTCTTAAATCTACAGTGACATCTGATGTTTCACCAAGCATTGCTTTAGTGTGTTTTTTAAGTTGGCAGGAACAGGGACTAAAACCTTGATTTTTTTTTTAATACGAAAAAAGGAGAGGATAGGCCTCAAGATGCAGAGTTTTGCCATTAGTTCCAAATTCTGTACTTTCATCGTGAAATTGTAGCACATTGCTGATTTCAGGATTATAAACTAAGTATGGACCAGTGTGGTCTGCAACAAAATATTGCAGTGCTGAGTGCTCTTGTTCAGAGTGCCAACCAGCCAGCCATGTCCTTTTCTGGGAGACCCCATTCCATTCTCCGGTTTTCTGTTCCCACACCCCAGCAGTCAACCAGCATTCTGTGGCCACTGAGCATGCTGAATTTTCACTGAGTTGTTTTGGAATATCGCCCACTCCCGCGGCTTTGATTCCCTTAATGTCTGCAAACTTTCATTTCCCCTTAAGTCTGCTTCCCTATCATGTGTAGGTGGTACTGTTATGGCTACATAAGGATCCACACTAGGAACATGGGTTTGCTGTTGTATATCTAATTTGCTTTGCAGCCTCAAATTAGGTGCACTGTTTTTCTTTCCGATAGCTCCAGTATCTCCTGAAATCACTTCAGTTGAATATTTCAATAACCTTCTCTATGTCAGCTGGATCTATGGGGATGACAACACAGACCTTTCCCATTCTCGAATGTTGCACTGGATGGTCATTGCAGAAGGAAAGAAAAAGATAAAAAAGAGTGTAAGCCTAAACACCTTGTACTTCCTTTGGGTTTCTCATGCAGAGAGGCACAATGTCATGGATTTTTTTAAAAAGCAAAACAAAAGCTTGTTATGGGGCAGTGGGAGGTTGCACTTACAAAGGCCCTCGCACAGCACTTTGCAAGCACCAGAAACCAGCTGATTGTTTGCAAGCTGTCGGGGCTTGCAACAATGATCGTTTCATCATTGGGACTTGTTAAAATTGATGCAAATGGAATCCCTGTTCTGGACCTTGTGCAGGGTAGAAATATACATGCTCTCCACCACAGGAAAGAGTCCCAAAAAGTATTACTGCAAACTGTCTTAAACTAGTTACAAAATAAGTGTTGCAAAAATACAAAGTAACACATTGCTCTTAAACAAACTAACAATGCGGTTCAGTCTTCTTTAAGTCTTTAGTCTAAGAACATTCCTGCTTCCAGAGAGGTATCCTATACAAGCAACTGGTTTGTTCAGCTATATAGCTGCAAATATAATGTCTTAAGTGCATTTTAAGTACATTCTTCAAATGTGACCCTAGATGATGATGGTGAAATTATGGAAAATTCAATATATTTTTCAAAACGTTTAAAAAAGAATGTTTTATATGTGCCTAGATTCCACCCAGGATTGCTGAGCTGAGCTCTTACTGCTGATAGCTCCCATGCTAGCTGAGATATAAGAGTTCTCAGGTTTCCCAGCAATGAGTCATTACTTAGTACACACACCAAAACGGAAATCTCCAGCCTCTCCTTATTTCAGCGTTTATCTAAAGCTGAACCTTCTGCCTAATGCAAACTTCTCTTTGCAAATGCAAATCTTTACGTAAGTTTTAAACTTCAGTGCATATAGACATTACATGTTATGCACATTAAATCTATATCTTTATCAGGGCTCACCTTACACAGAGCTCGGCAAGTCCCCTAAAATCAGCTGATCATTGGTGCTTGCAGAGGGCACTGCAAAAATAGATTCCTCTGGCATTATTGTGGCAGTGGATGATTGGCAGGTGGGCACTCCTGCCTACCTGTCAGACATGACCTACAGGGATGGGGGAAGATAAGGATCTGTCCTGCCAGGTGGGTCCAGTTGCAGACAAACTGGGATAGAACAACCACTCAATGGCACATCATGCTCCCACCCACTTGATAACAGGGTTCAAAGTAATTTCAGTCTGCTGTGGAGTCACCTCCTCTGTGGGCACTGTTTCACGCACTGACCATTTTAGGTGACGCGAAACTTCATGAGCGCCGTGCTCAACCTGCCACCCGGGGACATCTACAATCTCTCGGTCACTGCTTGCACCGAAACAGGAAGCAACACATCTGCGCTTCAGCTTGTGAAAGTTGGTAAGTTATTCCCTAGGGGAATAGGCTGCAATTTCATGAAAGCAAAATAATGCCAAAGACCTGGAAGGCAATAAAACTGAGAGCACCACAGACAACGGAACTGCCTGTTTTGTGCAGTTAACATGAACTGTCGAAAGAGTAGCACTGACCACTAGGTGTTGTATTTTAAGTCTCTTAATAAAAGTAGACAGGGTTAGATACTAGTTTCTTGGCTTCAATGATAAGATAAATAAATGGAGGGTCATGAAAGCTTCCAGTCACCCCCTTCTCTCCCTCTTCCCCAGGCTGGAGCATCCTGTTCTACCCCAAAAGCCTCTCTGGATAGTCAGGGGTCACCCCTGGACCATGTAGGATGAGGCCCAGAAAGCTGCTAATGGGAGAGGGGGAATCACTCAAAGTTGGACAGAGCTTTGCCTAATCTGGAGTGATTCTTCCCTCCAGGTCCCTTCCGACTCTACAATTCTACAATGCTATGATTCTCCAGCAAACCTCTGCAGGCCCACCTAGCCTCGTTCATGGGAGGTGTGGGGCGGTGGCTCCTGAACCTCCAGAGGAGTCTTCCAGGGGGAACAAGTGGCCGGGGGCAGGGATGGAAAAACCTCCTTCTGTTCATTTATTTTAGAATCCAAGCCATTAGGTTCTTTTAAGAGAAAGAGAGAGAAAGAGAGAGAGTTGGTCCATGTTATCTAACAAAGCAAATTAAAGCACAGATGCAAGCAAATGTAATTTAACAATTTGGTGAGGGTCAATTTGGTTTTAAGAAAGAACTAGGAGCAGAACAAAGTCACCTTTGCAATTCAGGTTTTAATAGCAAGAGGACTAGAAATTTAGGTTTATATGTAGAAAGTGTGTGTGTGTGTGTGTGAGTGAGTGAGTGAGTGAGAGAGAGAGAGAGAGAGAGAAAATAAATCTTATATCCCACCCTTCCTCTTCAAAGTAAGAACTTTATACACCACACTTCCTCCCTTCAGATATGTATAGACCACTGGATAACTCAGTTGGTTAGAGCGTGGTGCTGATAACACCAACGTCACAAGTTTGATCCCCATATTATTGCATTGCAGGGGGCTGGAATAGATGAAAACCAGGGTCCCTTCCAGCTCAAAAATCTATGATGTGTGTGTGTGTGTGTGTGTGTGTGTGTGTGTGTGTTTAATATAGCCCAGAAAAAAACCTAGGTAGCCTTGACTGGGGAAAAAAAAAGCCCAGTATATTTCAGAAAGCAAGAAAAAAAAATTATGAGGACAGAAGAATACTATGCAATAATGCAAAACCCCGGAAGCTATATTTAGAGTAAATTATATTGAACAAAGAGCCAGAAGTAGTAATAGAGTCTGTCATGGATGCCCACCACCCCCTACACTGTTTAATACATTTATAAAGGATGCAATTAATAAAATGGAACAAGTGCTACAGCCCAGCATTAAAGTAAAGGGGAAGGAAATGGGTATGTTTTGCTGATGTAGCAGTAATGGCAGACATAGCACTAATGGAAATATTATTATTATTTTAAGATATGGAAGTGCTAAATACAATGAAGTCAGGCTTTTTGAACTCCAGCTAAAAATGAACAAAGAAAGATTTGAGAGATAGGTCAGAACCTGTCATGGCCCATCCCAGATAAGGAAGGCTTGCGTCTGATAGTTAACTTTTTGTTGGGAAGAGAAATGCCAGCAGCAGCTTCCATGAAGCTCCAGATGCACCTTATTACATGCTTCTAGACTCTAGGCAGCTGTCCACAGGTCTGGGCTCTATGAAGCAGCTGCAGCAACAGTGAGACCCTACTTCTCTGCCGGCTTATAAACTCTCCTCTGGTAGGTCGCATGCCCACAACCTAACGACTTTTCCTGCACGGAAGTCATCATTATTCTTATTAACTTTGAGAAATTGCTTGTCAAAATCTCCTTCAAATAATAACCCAAGGAAGCCGGATATCAACATGAGAAAAAACCAACTATATGAACTTTCAAACGTAAAAGTAAAAAAATGACACCAACTTTTTCCTTGGGAAATGATATAAAATTTCTGAATATGATGAGCTTTTGAACAGTCAAGGGTTGTGCGTCTTAATGAGCTTCCTTAAATATGGCACACAATCTCATTTTGACCATCTCAGACTCACAGCAATCTTAGGGTCAGACAAGCCAAGAGGAGAAATGTGTGGTTCTAGCTCCACAAAACAACAGCTTCCGGAACCCTCTGTCAAAAGTTGTGCAAATATCATTTATCTTCCTAAAGGTGCACACACACACGCCAGTTAAGACTCGACTGAAAAAAGGAAATGAAGCAATAACTGAAAATAGGGAAGAGGGAGCAGCCCGCTACTTAAGGGTGTTTCTGTTTAAAAATTGCCTGTTTACTGCTGACAGAGCTTTGGGAAAAGTAAAAAGCATCTCTGTAGAACCACTAGAGAGCTGGTTTTTCAACTGGTTCTGGCTGCCACATCTTCCCGTTGGATTTGTACGATACCTCTGAAGTTACTCTCCTCCTGTCCCCAGACCCAGCTCCTCCGAGGTCACTTTTCGCTGTGAATAAGACCCAGACGTCTGTGACTCTCCTGTGGGTGGAAGAGGGAGTTGCTGATTTCTTTGAAGTCTTCTGCCAGCAGGCTGGTTTGAGCCAAGACACAAAGATCCAGGTATGTGTTTTCTTCTTTTTCAGGGGTGTTCTACCTCCTCTTGTATCTCGATGGTAAAGACTTTGGAATCTGTTTTGTCCCCCGCAGTTACGTTATCTTCTCCTGTTTGAGACTCTGATAATAACCAACATGGTAGTTCTCAATTCAATAGTGCAACCCCAGCTTCTGCTGATTTAATAAACAAAAGCTGTCCTACATGAGCCCTTTTCAGGTGCTGAGATCCACATGTTCAGGGAATCCAATGAGTGGGATGGGGAACAGGACAATCCCTCTGGCAACACTCTTAGCTTTATGAGAGTCGGGCTTTAAAAGAAGATTGTACAGGTTCACTGGGGAATCATGCTATCCATGGCTATGAGCCACGATGACTATGTTCTACAACTTCTGAATACCAGTTGCTGGAAAACACCAGTAGGGAGGGTGTTGTTGGACTCAGAATCTGCTTGGGGGCTTCCCATAGGCATTTGATTGGCCACTGTGGGTCTTTGGCTTGATCTAGCAGGCTCTTCTTATGTATCTGAATTCAGTTCAATCAGGAATTGTGTACTATCAGAGCTACTGCTCACATGAGAGCCTCTGCTGCAATACAGTTGTTGGTCACAATTTCACATGTTCAACTCAGTGTGCGACTCGCACTGTGGCCAGAGGGGTGTGTCAATGTCTGTGCCAGTGTGACTCGCTAGTGAACGCCCTTCCCTTTCCGCATGCTCCTTGAGAACACCTGAAAGGGATATAGTTTTGATACTTTTCTGATTCCCTCATTATACTAGCACATCAGGACCAAGGTTGCTTCACAACATGAATGTGTCCTAAGCTAGGAGTCCCATCAATTGGCGTTTTCATTTGCCTATTCAATTTGCCTCCCAGCAATTAATCAATGAAAAGGTAATTCCATAATGTGCAACATCCAGCCCTATTTGTTATATTTAAATAGCTTTGCATGTTTGCAAAACTGCAACACAGGTGCCTTTTTAAGATCCTAACAGGAGGGTGTGATTTTCCTGAAGTGTGACATAGTTTGGGGATGACCAAATGCAAAGGAAAACAGGGCTCCTAAATCTTCAGTGCAGAAAGGGGGAACTGGAATAGATGCATCTTCTTGTGCAAGCGTGAGAAAGGGTGCTCCAAAATGTAATTCTCTCTTACATCTAGGAACCAAGGAAGCTGCCTTATACTGAGTCAAACCATTGGCCCATTTAGCTCAGTATGATTGGCAGGGGCTCTCCAGAGGTTCTGAGAGGGTTGCAGGGCAGCTGCTCTGCCACTGAGCTACAGCCCTTCCTTGGCCACAGCACTTCTAAACAACTACTCAAGATATGATGTTGTGGACTCCAACTCCCATCAGCACTAGCTGTCATTGCTATTGGTGAGGGATGATAGGAGTTGTAGTCCAAGACTTCCACAGGGAGCAACTTTGATGACACCTGCGCTATAGGGTGCCCGTTTACATATCACCAAAAAGGGGGACACCTATTTGCATAAAATTGAATGTGTTGATGCATGTGAACAGTTGCAAACTTGGGTATAATCAGTGGCGTAGCATGGGGGGTGCAGGGGGGGCCGGCCGCACCGGGCGCAACATCTGGGGGTTAGGCAAATCCACGGGTTAGGGGGCACAAATCCACGGGTTAGGGGGCGCAAATTACTTGCCTTGCCCCGGGTGCTGACAACCCACGCTACGCCACTGGGTATAATTACTATATGACAAATGCCATATATCTCACCACAGTGGCAATGGCTGTGACCAGGTGAGCTGTGTACCTGTTGCTTCTGCTGACAAAGTGCTCATGGTCAATGGGTCTCTTTGAGAGCCTTCTTGCTCTCCCTTCTTGAGGCTGTTTTATCCTTAAACACGACTTGGAGCGGAGATCCTGCAAAAGGGAGGACTCCTTCAAATAGAGGACTGTCCTTTAACAGCCCTTCAGGTATATGAAGGTCCTCTATAAAGCACGACACTCAGCCACTAGTACCCAGAAAGAAAATCCTTTAGTATTTTCGTATCCACCAGTTTGGGAATCTGCAGCAAAGCACAATTCATTAGGAAGGAAGCTCTTCCCTTTATTTCAATTTCTCTGGTTCTGTTACAAGGGAGAAAGCCCAAGGGTTTTCCCCCATGGGAGTTCTGGCTTTGAATGCAAAAGGGAAAGCCAGCAATAATATGTCAGAGAGGGGGAAACAAGCAAGTTAAAACTAGTTACAGTTTGCACCCTTCATTAGAACACCACTTCTTGTTTTCTTGGTCACATCCACACTGTGTATTGAAAGCACATGACTTCCACAAAAGACTCAGTTCCTAACCTGGTGTGTGGTAGAATTAAGGCATAGATTTCTTTATTTTAATAACTGAGTTATAGAGGTGTTGGTGTTGGAATCCAACAACAACAACAACAACATATTATTTATACCCCGCCCATCTGGCTGGGTTTCCCCAGCCACTTTGGGCAGCTTCCAACAAAATATTAAAATACAGTAGTCCATCAAACATTAAAAGCTTCCCTAAACAGGGCTGCTTTCAGATGTCTTCTAAAAATCTGGTGGTAGTTGTTCTCTTTGACATCTGGTGGGAGGGTGTTCCACAGGGTGGGTGCCACTACCGAGAAGGCCCTCTGCCTGCTTCCCTGTAACTTGGCTTCTCGTAGCGAGGGAACCACCAGAAGACCCTCTGCGCTGGACCTCAGTGTCCAGGCTGAACGATGGGGGTGGAGATGCTCCTTCAGGTATACTGGACCAAGGCCATTTAGGGCTTTAAAGGTCAGCACCAACACTTTGAATTGTGCTCGGAAACATACTGGGAGCCAATGTAGGCTGCAAAGAAAGGCTGAAAACACATTAATCATCTTTTGTTGATATACTTTTATGATATACTTTGTTTCTGCTCTGGTATAAAATAATTGTATTTCCACAAAGGTCAGTAAAAACAAAAGTACACCCAAGATTCTGGGTGTTATGAAAAAGTAGACAATGGTCATTTGTTGATGATCTTCCTGAGGCTTTTCTCCTGTTGTATCATCACAATTTTTGGTTTCTATCTCTCTTGACCCTTCTAAGGGTACATTCAGATGCAGGGAATATTATGTTAGTTTTTCTGATTGTAACGCAGCACGTTTCTTTCACACTGTAGTTGCATTATGGAACTGCGGCTTGTTGGCTGATATATTGGCAGGTCACGCCAAATTTCATTCACTCCGGTGAGTGTGGTGTGGCACGAAAGCAAACACCAATGGACAACATCACTGCTGTTCCACCCTGTGTGCTTCTGTTCCCCCATGATCCCCCCATAAACACAGCAGGAGAGAACAGCATGCTGGGAAGGCGCCCCAAATTGTGACTTTACTTCTGCGATCTTGGGGGTTTATGGGCTCGCAGAGGGATTATGTCTGGAGCCAATTAACATGGAAATGAGCCATAAACTTCCACTAGATTCCGCTAGATTTGTGGCTTTTAAATCCTGTGAAAGCTCAAATATAACGTGGAAAGTAACAGGTAGGGGAATATCTGAATGCAGCCTCAGAGGCCTCTGCTGAAAGAAAGACTTTGCCTCATCTGCTTGCTTCATCTAGGTCTAGGACAGCATCTCTTGCCTTTGCCACGTGCTGGCATGAGTCACGTCACTCTTTCAGAACTGGTTACAAAGCCAGGAAGAAACAAAACGGTTCACAGAGTTACTATGACGAAACTGTTGATTTGTGCTTGTGTCATGATTTGGTTTTATCGCCTTCCTGCACGGCATGCTGTGGTCAGGAACGGAAGAGCTAAATTCCACATTTGTCTCTGTCACATGTTACAGCCTTCCCAGGACTGTACAGAAAACAAAAGAATTGCCGTGAAAATCCCTGAAACAAGAAGTAATCAACTTTAGAATTAAATAACAAAAATCAAAAATTTAAGGAAAAATTAACCTAGAATTAAACAAAGACTTTATGAGATGCTGGCTTCAAAATTCATTTCACTGAACTAATCAGTTTCCTCAGAAGGAAATAAAGAATTTTATAAACCTTAAATGATTTTAAGTGATATCAAACAAACTCAAGAGCAGGGCTGAACCGCTTCCTTGAGTTTACAAAAAAGGTATAAAAACCTCAACGACAAGTTTTAAACATAGCCCTATTTAAGAGAACATTATAAACCTTAAATGATTTTAAATGATTTCCAGCAAACTCAAGAGCAGGGCTGAAACGCTTACCTAAGTTTACAAAAAAGGTTTTGAGAAAAACTTACAAAGGAATACGAGATAAGCTGTTTAAGTTTCAAACAAACTCAAAAACAGGGCTGAAGCGCTCCTGACTGCTGATGTTAAAGACTGATTACATGTTACAGCCTTCCCAGGACTGTACAGCTTGAGAATGCTTTGTTGCTGCCCCACACTGCTGCTATCCATAACTGTAGTTTAGCGAGTTGTTGTGCTGCTGTTTTTAAGGGTGACAATATTTGTCGGATTTGATATGTTCTTTTAATCTCATTTGTTTTTCTTGCAATCACTTTGCGGCTTGTGCAAAGGCCAGGATATAAGTTATCCAAAATGAGGACATAAGTACAAATATGTAGAGGTCTGAATGGTGTGGTTTTCCATGCAAAGCTGGAGTTTCAACACTCGCAAACCTATCCTTTAAGTGGGACGGTGTTGGCTGGCCACCACAATCTCTTGTGGTAGGAATCCCACAGTTTAGCCACGTGTGAAGAAGTGCTTGCTTTTGCCCGTCTTGAATCATCCAACATTCAACTTCACTGGATCACCTGGACTTCTAGTATTTTAAGACAGTGAGAAAAACCTCTCCCTGTCCACTTTGATGTAAAAATTGGGTTTTGGCTTTTGCTGCCCAACTCTGAGTCCCCTAAGTCGATGATTGGTCAGAGAAGAATGGATGGAGGCAAGATCCAGTGGAAAGCAAGGCAGATATTTATTTTTCTGTTGAATGGGACCTTGAACAAAAGTGTGCAAGCACCTTTAAAGACTTTTGACATTGCCCAATCCCCTTAGCCAAAGACCACCCCAAAATCATCATACATACATCACAGGAAGGCCATCTGCCGCAGAAATCCTGTCTGCTAGGATACCTGATAATGGTTGTTGATTGCATTAACCTGGGCAGCCTGGCCATTCTTTTGTAATGGGTTAATAATTTAGCTCCTGAATCCAGGTCACAGGCCTATTCATACACAAATACTCCCATAAGACAGGATTTGTAAGCGAAAAGACAATGAGAAGGCTTTCCCTATTTGCCTCCCTTACTGCAGAGGAATATTTGAGGTCATTGGGAGATTCAAAATGGCTTCAGGGTTGCTCTCCTGTACTATTTCAGACACATGGTTCATATATTTAGATATGTGTGCATTTATGAATATTTATTCTATATTTGAGACCTTAAAATTCTTAAAACAACTTTCTTCACACTCATTTTATAACCCTTATCATGTGCACTATTGATTGCTCTAAGAAACCCCAAACATTGCACCCTCTCTTCATAAAGGATTTCATGCATGTCTACTCAGAACTAAGGCCCTCAGCATTAAATGGGGCTTGCTTCCTGGTAAGCCACCCGGCATCTGTCATGAATGCTCAGTTGAGATTCCTGCACTGCAGGGGGTGGGACTTCATGACCCTTGGGGTCTTCTCCAAATCTATATTTCTAAGCACATACAGGAGTTTAGCCTGCATTTGCTTGTGGTGGTGGGGAAGGCATATAATAATCGGAGTGATCACTAACCACAAACTCTTTCCTTGCCTCCCCCTACATTTAGGAGCCTGTGACGGTCTCTTCGCACGTAGTGACCATCTCCAGCCTCCTGCCTGCCACGTCCTACAACTGCAGTGTGACCACCTTCAGCCACAACAGCCCCAGCATCCCCACCTTCATTGCTGTCTCCACAATGGGTGAGCAGAATTCCTTTGATTCGTCACTCACTTCACCCATTTCTCTCCCCCTCCCCCAAAAAAGATGGCCATAGGGCAAGGACCTGTGGAAAATACCCCCAAATGGTTTTCAGAAGATTTCTACATTGCAAAGGGTTAGACTTGATGACCCTCGTGGTCCCTCCAAGTCTAAGATTGAGATGTGGCAGAAGACCATATTAGGCAAAATGTACATTCCTAAGCATTGAGTTATTAGTCAGATGCTACCTTTTGGGGTAGCATTAATGGGCATGAAATTGTCAGTTGTTGAGCTTATTATTACATTTTGCCCACCAGGAAACAGAGAGTACACCATTTGCATTTTTTGGTCAATTGCCCATCATTTTTTGTCATCATTTTTAAAAGGACCCCTGTAGTCATTGCGGAAGTGCTCTCTGAGAAACTATTATATGCAGAAATAATTCAGGATTGTTGTCTTTTCCTTAGCATATCTTGGTATCGTTCCTTAACCTGGCTCCTCCTCCTTGCATTTTCAGTTACAGAGATGAATCCCAACGTGGTGGTCATCTCTGTCCTAGCCATCTTGAGCATCCTTTTGATAGGCCTGCTGCTGGTCACTCTTGTGGTCCTTCGGAGAAAACACCTGCAAATGGCCAGGTAGGTCAGCTTTGACTTCTAATGCCAGTGATGGTTCCTAAATGGCGAATGAAGCAACCGTGTGCCTTGCTGAACTAGGGACTTGGGCCACTGCCTATCGCTTACACAATGAGTGGTGATGACCACCAACTGGGATATCTTTTAAAGGGGATTGGACAAATTCATGGAGAATTTTCCCCAAAGCTCAGTGGCTTCTAGCAATGATGTCGATGTTCGACCTCCACCTTGGAGGCAGTATGCCTCTGGATTCCAGGAGAGGGCTCTTGTGCTCACGTCCTGCTTTGGGGCTTTCCACAGGCATCTGGTTGGCCACTGTGAGAACAGGATGCTGGACTAGATGGACCATTGGCCTGGTCCAGCAAGACTCTTGTAATGTTCTTACGAGACCCATAATTTATATTATGATGAACCATGCTCTATGAGGAACAGTTGAAAGAGCTCAATAGGATTGTAACTCAATGAGAGAGCATCTGCTAGGCATGCAGAATTTCAGTCCCCAGCAACTCTAGGTTGTACGCCTCTGGGGGTGAAGTCAAATCACTGTGTTAGCAGTACACAAGTGACCTCCCTGGGACGCAAGCCTGAGCAGTGTGTATGGAGGTCTTGGGCTGCCCAGACAAGCTAGGCAGTTTGTGTGGAGACCTCCAGTCTTGTGGTTGGAATGTCTAGGTTCAGAAGACATCAGATTCCAGATTTGGATTGGGCTGAACCTGACCTGGGCAGAAGGGAATTGGATGAGCTGACCCCCTAGAGCTCCTTTCAAATCTAAAATTCTATGGTTCTGTATGGATGCACCACAGCTAAACCAGGTATTCTCCTGCAATATGTTCACCTCTTAAGTGATAAGCAACAAGTGGTTCCCTTACTTACACATATCCAAATGAATTAACTAATAAGCAATTGGTGATTCCATGCGCCACTGCAGCAACCTTGTTTGCATGACCTTCACCACCCCTGAAACTCCCACCCTTTGTCCAAGGACTGTCCTCATCCCGGTTGCCAAGTTAATCCCATCACTGATTCATTCTGCAAACATCTATCAATGAAAGCCTTGCAGAAGGATTAAGACTCCCTATTTCCTTACAATTTCCATGCACACTGTGCATAAAAATAATTTCCTCTTTCCTTTCAAGGTTAACAAGGTATGTAATTGCATTTCAAAGCATCACTTTGATAGAGAAAAAAGGGGGGTGTTAATTGGTTCTCCTGCAGACATGGTGTTTTATTAAATGGGATGTATTTGATGTACTGTACACATTTCAGGTGAAACATGTGCACTTGGAATAGCAGAGCTCTTTTAAATTGGATTATGTCTGCTTGGCTCTTATTTATAGCTACAGCTGTTCTCCAGGTGATGCTCACCATCTTTTTTCTGTTCCATGACCTGGCAATAAATGCAATGCTCTTCCTTGAGTTTGCTCACCGGTACAAATGCAGATGTTACAGAACAGAGGAGAAATATTGCCGGCTACCAAAGGTTGCAATCAGATCTGCTGACTCTTAATTGTTCTGTTAACCAAATTTGCAATTGCTGGGGAGAGAAGGCTGGAGCAGCACTGCGACACTCAGTTCTCTATTACATCGGGACGTGGCTTCCTAAACTTGGGTCTCCAGCTGTTTTTGGACTGCAATCCCCATCATCCCTGGTCTTGCTAGCTAGGGAGGATGGGAGTTGTAGTCCAAAAACAGCTGGGGACCCATCTTTGGGAAACCCTCTACCATGAAGGGGAAGAACTTGAGAGATTCTCTGATCTCTCTTGCTCTGTCTGGTTTGACTCTTAACCATGCTTAATCAGAAGTCAGCCTCGCTGTGTTCAGTGGGGGTATATTTTAGTCATGGACAAATTTATTGATCTAGTAAGAAGGAGAGAAGGAAAAGACAGATCCAGGACAGATAAAAGATAGTGAGAGAGACAGAGGCCGATCTACCAATAATCACTTGAGGTCTTCTTCCAATACCAGGGAATGTGGAGCTGGAACCTTTGTGAACTTTGCTTCATTGGAGAGAGATGGAAAACTGCCATATAACTGGTAAGCGATGCCCAAAGCGATGCCCTTACATTTGCCTGGCTACTTCTCTTGATGTGTATTGGGGTTTTGTTTTTTTTTGGCCCTAACTCTAAATAATGTTTGCTGTGAGATAGATATTGCAATTCAAACATTAACAGTTGGATCCCACATTTTAAATAGGACGTACATTTTATATTATTTATTCATCTGTATGATTTTTACCCCATTCTTTCCCCAAAATAAATAAAAAGGAATAAAACAAATCTTGAAAAAGATTATTTAAAAAAACTTAGTTCTCTAAGGTGCTACTGGACAATTAAAAAATTTTTTTTGGGAAGCAGGAGGTCACTAGTCCCTTTATTTGCAGTCACATCACCTCTGGGAAGCAGCCCTAGAACAGGGGGTCCTTTTTCAGACAAAATGTTCATTTCCCTCCCCCACAGCCTTCCAGAGACCACATGGCGCTGAAAAAACTATTTATTCATTATCTAAATAAATTTACGTACTGCCTTTTAAGTACAAGATTCTTCCCAAGGCTGTCCATACAGCAAAAGAGTACAGTACACCTAGAGCTTTCCTTCACCGTCCTCTTTGATCACTTTAAGCATTGCATTTCATTTGATTGAGGTCATGCCTTTCATCCTTAGCTATTTCCACTGGTAAACTGCAACGCTCAAGCATCTGGTTATGTGAGTCAGGGAAGACAAATGCTGCTTTTTCATCCCCTGGACATATAATCTCCCATAGCAATAAAGAGTCCAGAAAATCTGGTCAATGAATGTGCTATGAGTTCTGCAATGAGAAAAATGCTTAAGGGATCATCAGTTAATGCTCTTGTTCACCCATGAAACCCATTTCTTCCACACTGCAGGTGTTTTGTATACCAAGCCTGGTGTCTCCTATATGATAATCAAGGGGGTTGGACTAGATGGCCCTTGGTACCTCTTCTGTCTTTCTATAAATATTGGCCTAGAGAGAGAGCAAGGCAGAGAGACCTGGATGACTTTCTCTTCAAGGACTTATTAATTTAAAACATATTTAGACCCACAGATACCTTTGGAAGTTCCCTCCAAGTCTTTCAGCCAGTACAAAGTAAACGTGCTTAGGGTCATGTCATGAAATCCTAAACATGTCTATTGAGATGCTTCCTCCTCTGTTTATAAATACCTCCTGCTAGCTACCGCTTCTCTGAAATCCAGAATCCTAGGCAAGGCCTGTAGCTCAGTGATAGAACACCTGCTTTGCATGCAGAAGGTCCCCCAAATTCAATCCCTGGCATATCCAGGGAGAGCTGGGAATGTCCTCTGTTCTGTCTCGGCTGCGAACAGAGGGACTGTTGTGGCGTCCAGTCTGCTTCCAACCTGCTTCTCCCAGCTACAGCTGAGTATCTTGTGCAGCAGTGTGCCTGTGTGGAAGGAATATCAGCCATGCAGTAAAACTCTCATGCGATGGCTTCTATTCTATGAAGCTTTATTGTACAGCAGCAAAGCAACAAACAGGAGTTAGCGAAGGCATGATTCTCCTGTCGCAGCCAAAACAGCAAGTAAAACGTTCACATCACAAAGATGTGAACACACCCCCAGTGACAGGACATCATTTCCCTCTGAGCTGTTAACCTTGTAAGCTCTGGGTATCCTCACAACCTCAGTCTGAAATCCTGGAGAGCAGCTGCCAGTCAGTGCAGACAGTATGGACCAAAGGTCAGACTTGGTCTACAGCATCTTCCTCTGTTCCTGTCTCATTAGATCTAAACCAGTAGCCCACTCTAGAGGGCTGAGGAGGAACAATTGTGGTTGCAAGCTCCTTTGAGATCCCTCATGTTTGAGCAATCCTGGTAACCTTGAAATGCAAGAGATTTGAAAAAATCAGTTCAGAATATTATTATATTATATTAAGATAAAGGGACCCCTGGCCATTAGGTCCAGTCGTGGCCGACTCTGGGGTTGCAGCGCTCATCTCGCTTTATTGGCTGAGGGAGCCGGCGCACAGCTTCCGGGTCATGTGGCCAGCATGACTAAGCCGCTTCTGGCAAACCAGAGCAGCGCACGGAAATGCCGTTTACCTTCCCGCCAGAGTGGTACCTATTTATCTACTTGCACTTTGAGGTGCTTTCGAACTGCTAGGTTGGCAGGAGCAGGGACCGAGCAACGGGAGCTCACCCCGTCGCAGGGATTCGAACCGCCGACCTTCTGATCGGCAAGTCCTAGGCTCTGTGATTTAACCCATAGCACCACCCACGTCCCTATATTATATTATTATATTATATTATATTATATTATATTATATTATATTATATTATATTATTATATTATATTATTATATTATTACTCTCTCATCTCCTATTCTGAATTGTGAGTGCCCTCGGGCGGTTCCTTATGCATTGATTAGCTCATCTGGTAACCAGCTTTGGCTTACCGTGATGTGCAGATGATACCCCGGATATCACCATGTGAGGCATGTGCTTCCCCCAAACAGTGGTAGACCCCAAAACCATGGGCCAATCAGTTAAAGGGCTGGTATGGGGAGCAGGCAGACGGGAAGGTATTTTGCAGATTTTATGAGGTGCAGCCGGCTGGCGCAACTGGCAAAATTGATTTGATATGGCTCCGAAGCAAGTCTTTTGATGATAAAAAACTTCCCAAACTGAATGAAAGCCACCAGCAGGCCCTGTAAATATTGATGCAGCTAATGAACTAAGCGGAAATCAACCTTTATTCCCTCTTTGAGCTCCCAGAAGCAGAGAGCCCTCCGCAGCAATCATTAATCCTCTTTTCGGGGGGGCTTCTTTGATACGGCACCAAAGGCGGAAGATCAAACGCTGTAGCTAATTAATGATCCAAGCTGGAGTTACGCTAACAAGGAACCCCAAACGCAGCAGCCCAATGCTATGAATTTATTTGAGCCTCTGGGGTCGCAAGAGGGTCCCTGGGGAGGCTTAAAAGGGGATACGATTGTGGGTGAATAGTGTGGGGAGTAGCTGGTTGACTCCACGCAGTGTAGTTGGTTGCTGCACCCCAGAAAATAGGAATCAATTCCTCTTTTTCATTATATAGCCTTGACTATGCTCATGGTCTTAGCTAGGGCCTCTAACACCCCTACCTCTTCTTCCAGGCTGTCTGTCTAGATTTTAACATGTGACCTATTGATCTCTTGCTTGTCATACTAATCCTCCTGACTTCAATTTTTAATCTCTCTGCATATTATCTATTAATACTCACAGGCGTAGGAGTGTCTTTGCTTTCCTAACTCTGTTGCCTTCCTGCCTATGGACTGATTATCTCTTGGCGTTTTATATTAACCCTTGGTAAGTCTGCATCAAACAGCTTGCTTCTTCCTCGACAGTAACCAAAAAGTTTTCATTTCCTGCTAGGTTTGCTCAAATCTATGTTGAATATGTTCTCGGCGTTAAAATGGAGTTCAACTCTTGAAATACAAAAGCAAGAGGGAACTTTGCCCCTTGCACCCATTTTATGATTGGGTGGGGAGGAAATTGGGGGGGGGGCGTTGCACAGAACTCTGTCTAGTTGTGTCCAAGAAACTTCAGGGTTGTATCAGACAACGCTGTTCTGTTTGCAGAAGGACTTCCACTTGCACAGCAGAACTTCTCCCAAAGAGCAAATCTGGGGCACACACAGTGAGGAGAGAGGGATGGGCAAGGCCCTCCGTGAATGGGACAACGTTGTTGGATACTGTTGCCAACAGGGGGTGCCAACTGGGGGCTCCGTGGTTGGGGTTGACCCATAACGGCCTTTTCAGTATCTGAAGAAGTGTGCATGCACACGAAAGCTCATACCAAGAACTAACTTAGTTGGTCTTTAAGGTGCTACTGGAAGGAATTTTTTTTGTTTTGAGTGAACACCCCTGTTAACTTGGAGATTTGATGGCCTAAACACACTTTTCTTGGAAAGCCTGAAATACCTGGTTTTGGAAATCTGTAAACTGTTTTTAGAAAGTTAAAAATAGAAGTTTTATGATTGATACAATTGCTGCCCTGGGCTGCTGCTATGGGAGAAAGGGCAGGATATTGAATGAATGAATGAATGAATGAATGAATGAATGAATGAATGAATGAACCCTGCATACAATCTGTGAGATACGGCTAAACTTTCACCCATGCCTGATGTGACTAGTATCCAGCAGTTTCTTTATAGGAAAGCAAATGTCCTTTCAGGTTATATGCTCATTATACAAGAGCCTGTTCCAAAAGGGCAATGGTTCTCTCCCCTCCCCCCCCCATTAACTGGCATGCTTTTAAGATCTGCCCAATTTTAATCATTCAGTTACACAAATGAACTAAATATGTTTGCCGTGTGCAAACCCCTTGACCCATGACCTCTCTTGATATATGCATTCTATAAGCTAATGATGTATTGTGTTTGAAAAACACTATGAAAGCCTTGTTAAAATGTGCCTTCGGGGCAGTTCTCCTAACTGGTGGTTCTCCGAACATCTGGTTTACAGCAGCTGTCATTATTGCAATACCTCCTTTAATAAACCGGGTCCCTACTAGACGCTCATCCTGCATATCTCTCTTGGTTCCATTTTTATTTAAGGTTTTGTTCCTTTACCTGGACTTGAACCAAGGTGAAGTGGTTTAGAAATCATTTCTTACCACGTTGTGTGTCCTCAAGTGTGTGTTAGCAGATTTATTTCACGGCATTTGATTAACTCTGTCGTCATCCAGAAAATGGCTGTCAAAAGGTAACCTCAGCATTCTCTTTCTCTTTCAGGAGTAAAAATGGACTGAAGAAGAGGAAGCTGACCAAGTATGTCCATTTTGTAAACACTTAATGGAAATGTCATTGTTGCCTTCATGCATCTCTTCTCAACAGGGACAGGAAACCCTTTTTAACCCCAAGGACCATATTTCATCCTGTGACACATTCTGGGGGCCACATGCAAGCGTGAGCAGGGCCAGAAGCAAAAGTGGGAGGAGCAATGGATGAGGCTCAGGCAGTAGACTGTGGTGCAGCCACACAAAACTCAGTGGTTTGCTACACACACACACACACACACACACACACACACACACGTCAATCCTTTGTTTGTTTGTTTATACCCCACCCATCTGACTGTGCTGCTTCGGCCGCTCTGGATGGCTTCCAACCTATATAAAAACATAAGAAAACATTTAAAATTTAAAAAAAAACTTCCCTATACAGAGCTGCCTTCAGATGTCTTCTAAAGGTTGTATAGCTACTTATCTCCTTGGCTCGGGGGGAGTGGTATAACTCCATAACTTCCAACATTTCTCCGATGAAAATAGGGGCGTCCTAAGGAAAGGTGGGACATTCCAATATCAAATCAGAAACCAGGACAGTTTCTGTAAATCTGAGATTGTCCCTGGAAAATAGGGTCTGGAAGGGGCTCTGGCTTAGACAGTGTCCTGAGAGCTCAATACAGGTCTGGAGGGCCACGTTTAATTGATTAATTGATTGATTAAATTTATATAACTGGACTTTGGGCCTGAGGTTCACTACCCCTGCCTTACAGACATCTATCACTGAAGTGAAAAGGGACTAAGTCCCCCCTTTGCTAATGCTTATGCCGTATGGAACTCCTATATATTGAATCAGACTATTGGTCTAACTGGGACACGGGTGGCGCTGTGGGTTAAACCACAGAGCCTAGGGCTTGCCGATCAGAAGGTCGGCAGTTCGAATCCCCGCGATGGGGTGAGCTCCCTGCTCGGTCCCTGCTTCTGCCAACCTAGCAGTTCAAAAGCACGTCAAAGTGCAAGTAGATAAATAGGTACCACTTTGGTGGGAAGGTAAACGGCATTTCCGTGCACTGCTCTGGTTCGCCAGAAGCGGCTTAGTCATGCTGGCCACATGACCCGGAAGCTGTACGCCGGCTCCCTTGGCCAATAAAGCAAGATGAGCGCCGCAACCCCAGAGTCGGCCACGACTGGACCTAATGGTCAGGGGTCCCTTTATGGGTCCAACTATCAGAGCCAGGTATGGGGAATCTCTGGCCCTCTGGCTGCGAGACTACAACTCCCATCATCCCTGACCACCGCTGGCTGATGTGAACTGGAGTCCAACTATGTTTGGTAGTTTCCTGGGGTCTCATGGTGGTGGGGGGGCATTCTTCGGCTCACATAAAGAATACAGTAACCATCTTGTCTTAATTTAAACATACAAATCAATTTAAACCAATGTCCAATGATGAGAAGAGTCTCTAGGGTGTAAAAGTGGGTGAAGGACTCACCAGGTATCTTTGTTGACAAATCGTGCTGCCATTTTTATTTTACCCACAATGCCACAGGGTGGTGGAACATCTCAGATGCTGCACTGGGGGAAGCAAAGCTAGCAGCTCCAGCCACTGGGGGCTCAACAGGTCCCTCAGCTCTGAGTTTTCTGGGTTTTCCTGCCCGAGGGTCCTCAAAACCCAAATATGTCACTGACTATTACATTTAAGCAAAACAAAATTGTATGTGCCTGCTTAATCTTCGCCACAGATATTGCACGATAAAAATGTTCCTGGCTGGCAGAAAATTAGGCATTAGGGAAAGATCAATTATCTCAAGTTTACAGTCCTGACAGGGTTTGCCTTTCATTAACAATGACAAAATGTGAAAAATCTCAGCAACGTATGTGTTATCAGTGCCGTTCCTCTCTCTCAGCACAGCGCTCTAATGGCAGTTGCTAATTATGCACTGGATCATTAATGCTAACAGGTAAACAGGAGTAATTAACTGTTGATAAGAGACAGGTTCCTTGGGGTTTGCTGCTTCAAGGAAATGAGGGGAAATGTGTGTATATGCGTCACTATTTGCTAATTGGAACATGAATAATCAGGCGAGATAAAGTTGTTTGCCTCTTCTTCATTATTCAGAGTATAAATCTAACAAATTAAGGCAAGTTTCCACAGTGGCCCTGATCCAGTTAGTTATTCTTGTCTGTGTTTCATTGAAAGTAACAACTAAGACCCAAGACCAGTGAGGTCCTAAACCTGTTTGGGGACTAGATATGTAAGAAGGCATAAATTTTCATTCTGCTCTATATTTGTTGCCTGCAGCACTGCTTCCAATCTGCTGCAGTTCATGTTCTGCCAAAAATTACATTATTCCTCTTTCTGTCCAATGAGGTGAAATTATGAAACGTCATTTACATAAGCCATTGCATACATTATGTAAATTGTGGTGTTGTTACATTATTCAACCCCAATTATTTCAATGGAAAGGAAGCACAATGCAAATTGTGGTGTGTGTGTGTAATAATTATGTACCGTTTGCAAACTGAAAGCAACAACAGTGAATACCGGTGATTTAACCACGTGAGCCCCTTCCTGAAGTGTCAGGTGGTATAGTCCAGACACCGTTTTGCCACTTTATCTGCAGTTTGTAGAAAGTAGGCCTCACTTTAATTGGATCAAGGACAATGGGTTTTTTTATAGTTCTGTTGCTGATTTTCTGATAAAAGGGCTTACAAAGCTGAGACAAAATTGTGGGAAATCAAAAATATGGATGGTTTTCAGATTTTACCCTTTAGATTTTGACATTAACATTTGACATTCCAGTTTCAGAGTCAAAATTTGACATCAGTGGTTCACAGTTTCTCTGTCTGTCTGTCAGCAGGGTGCTTATAGTTGGGAAGAATGAAACCATTAGTACAAATATCACTAAATGCTGTTGCAAGTCCATTGTCAGATACTGTCAGATATTGATTGTGGCCATTTCTGATGCTGTGAAATGTCAGCTGTGGTTTGCTAGATCATGTCAGCCTCTTGAGTGCTACAACAAATTCATAATTTGATGTCCGATGCTATAGTATTAGATATTTGCACATGTGGGTGACATTTAGAGGTTTTGTGCTTTTTTAAAGGGAAGGGAGAGCTGGATATTTTCAGCTTCAGTTTTAAATGTTGGCACTTTCTAAGTCAGCCTCCTAAGAAACCTCACAAAATTTGACAGTGTATATTTTCTTCATCCCTAGAAATAGAAAAAATAAATTAGACATGATGTTAAATGTATCTTGGCATTTAAAATGTACTTTTTAATAAATGGAATTTGCATTAGCTGGGGCTGCTGAGCATTATGGGAACTGCAGAAAGTGTGAAAGGAAGTCTGGTTGGCACATAACTCTAAGCCATGGTTATAAACCCTCACCTGAACCTGGCCCAGTCGCTTAACCATGGTTTATTAACCATGAAGAAAACACACATGTTAACCATCATTTCTACACTGGCTGGCAGTGACTCTTCAGGGTTTTGGACAGGGGTTGCTCCCAATCAGCGGCGTAGCGTGGGTTATCAGCACCCGGGGCAAGGCAAGTAATTTGCGCCCCCTAACCCGGGGCAAGGCAAGTAATTTGCGCCCCCTAACCCGGGGCAAAGCAAGTACAGTAATTTACTCTCCCAAGAAGCAGCAGCGAGGCTTCTCTTTCCCCCGCGCTCTCCTGGAGCTGCCTCTTTTCTTTCCTTTTTTCCCTTTCTCCAAGGCTTTTCGCTTTCTCTCCTTAATTGATTCCTCCTCCACACCGCGGCGTTTCCTGGCTGCTTCCCCCCCCTTCCCCTCTCTCTCCTCCTCGCTCTGCTTGCCTTGCCCTGCCCTGCCTGAGGGCGCCCTGAGGAGACTCCGCTCTCCTTTTTGACCAGGCGAGGTGGAAAAAAGGGGGGAAAGTCTCTTCCTGCCCCCTCGCCAGACTCCCTGCTCGGCTCGGCTCACTACCCAGGCAGCCAGTGGAGAGAGAGCTGCAATTACCATAAAGCTCCTCTCCCTCCGCTTCGCCAAGCTGTCAAAGCCCGGCAGCAGCGGCAACGGCAGCAGCAGGCGCAGCCAGACCCCCGCCAGCCAGCCAGCCCGCCCGCCCGCCCGGCTTCCTCTCCTTTTTTTGCCCGCGGCAGAAGGCTTCGCTCTCCCCCTTCCGCGACCTCCTCGCCAAGCCGAGCGAGCGCGGGCTCCCTAACCCGTGGATTTTAGTAGGGGCAGAGAGCTGCTAGTGCGAGCGCGCCCCCCGCCCATGTTGCGCCCGGTGCGGCCGGCACCCCTGGCACCCCCCACGCTACGCCACTGCTCCCAATCCTATCTGGAGATGGGTGTTGGACTCAGCTTGAACCCTTCTGTCACTCAGTTTTAGCCTTTCCTATATCTAGAGATGCAGGTGGAGCTGTGGGTTAAACCACAGAGCCTAGGACTTGCCGATCAGAAGGTCAGCAGTTCGAATCCCAGCGACAGGGTGAGCTCCTGTCGCTTGGTCCCTGCTCCTGCCAACCTAACAGTTTGAAAGCACGTCAAAGTGCAAGTAGATAAATAGTTACCGCTCCAGCGGGAAGGTAAACGGCATTTCCGTGCACTGCTCTGGTTCGCCAGAAGCGGCTTAGTCATGCTGGCCACATGACCCGGAAGCTGTACGCCGGCTCCCTCGGCCACTAAAGCGAGATGAGTGCCGCAACCCCAGAGTCGGCCATGACTGGACCTAATGGTCAGGGGTCCCTCTACCTTTATATCTGGAGGCTTCTTTATTCAGTGAGGTTTTTTTGAGTTCTGCCCCTCCGCTTTGGAATGCCCTCTTCAAGGGGGTTTTCCCTTCACCAAAGCTACTTTTCTTTAGGCACCAAGGGATGGATCTATTTTTATTCATCCAGCCTCTTTCTTTCTTTCTTTCTCTTTCTTAGCTTATGAATATCTTATCTGGTTTCCCCCTTCTGTTTCGCTTGTTACATGCTATATCTTTGTTTTCAAAGCCCCGTCCAGCTGGATGATTTTGACAGCTACATCAAAGATATGGCGAAAGATTCCGATTACAAATTCTCTCTGCAGTTTGAGGTATGTCCTGACGCGGATATTAGCTTGCTAGACGTAACTCAGCAAATTGTGCAGAATGGAATGACAGAGAGTGAATTGGCTGTGCTTTCGCATTTATCACATTCATATCCCACTTTTCTTCCAAGTGGATGAAGGTCATATGTAGGGTTCCCTTCCTCCCCTCACAACCTCACAACCACCCTTTGAAGTAGACTAGAGGCTGTGGCCAGTCCCAGGTCACCCAGTGAGTTTCATGGCTATGCAGGGATTTGAATCAGCGCTCTAACCACTACAACACACTGGCTCAAAGCACATCATTGACACTGCAGAGTGGAGGTGGGAGATTGCATTTTTAGAAGCTCACCTACATTTTCTTTAAATCCCCCTGCATGAAGAAATCTAGCAGGTAATGTTTTTTACATTCCTTTTCATTGATACACTAGTTTATTTCATGCAGGGAGGTTTGTTAGATGGGGAAGCATTAAAACAACACATGCTAACACACTCCCTTGTTGTGTAAAGTAGTTCTATTTGGAATTCTGTCGCCTCATCTTATGCAATGCATGGACCCCGCTTCAGCCTTGGCTTGATAGGGAACCGGAACAAGGACTATCTGAATAGCTTATGGCTTTCAGTTCATTAACTGGCAGCCCACAGGAAGCATTCAGCTTTCAGGATGGCTTTGCCCAGCACAAGTCCCCCTCCATCTGAGCAGCAATTTACGGTATTTTCCATTAACAGTATCCATTCAGTAGTGGTGGTCAAGGGGGGTTTACTCAGAGTAGACCCATTGAAACCAATAAGCTAACAGCCACACCCATTAATTTCAATGGGTATACTCCCAAGTAAAATTTAGGAATATCCCGCCTTCTCAACAGAAGCCCTGCACAAGTGCAGTTTTTGCTAGTGCAATGGGATTTTTACCCCTCTCCTCTCCTGTGCTCCCCCCACACCCATGAAATTGACTCAGGTGGGGCAGGAGAACCCCCAGAACAGGATAGGGGGATTGCTCTGTTTGGCCAACTGAATTGCTTGTGCAGATGGAAGCAACTGGAAGAGTGTGACGTTGAATTTCATCCACCATGTTGAATTGTATCCACCATGTTTTAGACTACGACTTCCATCTTGGTTTGGGTGTGACCTACTTGTAGGTTGAAGACAGATGGGTTATCTTAATGACGGCATTTTATTTTGTGTCTTCTACAGGAACTGAAGCTGATTGGGCTGGATATCCCACACTTTGCAGCTGACCTCCCCATGAACCGCAGTAAAAACCGCTACACGAATATCCTCCCTTGTACGTTATTGGGGGGATGTGCCTGTTATGGCTGCTTTGACTTGTGCGCTCCAGGGTACCCGTAACACCAATTCTAACCCTTAGGAATCAGGTTGATGCATAGCAATTCTGTGACATGTTCAACTGCTGGCAATGTCAGACACCAACTGAGACCCAGGCCCTAGTAGATGTCCTCATGCTGCTTCTCTTTCTGTTACTGCCTGGTCTCTTCCTCTGATCTAGAGGGAGAATTTGAGGAAAGGAAGGAAGCATTTCTAAGCTGATCTGAGCCCATAAACGTAACTCCCATCTGAATTATCACCACAACAGCTGGTTTTCCTATATTTATTCCATTACCAGTTTATTTCACTCCTTTGGGTTGTATCCAGCTAAGGTTGCTTCCAGGCTGAATTTTGCAGAAGAGAGTCCAATCAAATCCCAGAATGTTAGATTTGCACTTTTCAGTGGCTCCGTCAATCTAGAACAGCATTTCCCAGACTTGGGTCTCCAGCTGTTTGTGGACTACAAGTCCCATCATCCCCCACCACTGGTCCTGCTAGCTAGGGATGATGGGAGTTGTAGTCCAAAAACAACTGGAGAACCATGTTTGGGAAACCCTGCCCTAGAGCAACAAGACCGCTTTATGTTTTAATAAAACAGACTACTTGAAATTTGGAGGGTTACGGGGAAATGCAAAGTGTGGGATGAACGAATGACAACTGGGATGACGTGTCAAGACCCTGCAAGCAAGCCAGGATGAGTGCAGGATTGACTGCTTATTGACTGCTCTGGCTGCCCCACAAACAAATCAAAATGAATGCAAGGTGTGACCAGAAAGTTTGGTGAATGGTCACAGAAATCAGACAGCAAGAAATATTCAAACATACATACCTTCCATGCTTTCAAAGTAGGCCCTCTCTGATACAATGCACCGTTGACAACATTCGTAGAACTGTTGGAAACTTCTGGAGAAGTCCTCTTTTTGTACTGCTTCAAGTTCCTTCGTCACAGCAGCTTGGATGTGTGAAATGTTGGGAAATCTGTGCCCTTTCAGTGCAGATTTCAGTTTTGGAAAAAGAAAGAAATCTGGTGGGGCCAGATCGGGAGAATATGGAGGGTGGGACAACTCAGTAACCTCAGTAATGATTTCACGCAGAATATGCAATTCTTCCACCATCATTTGGACAGACAAACACCGATTCTGCATCAATAACTCATGAACTCTGTTGACATTTGCCGCAGTTCTGCCTGTCGACTGTCTGCCAGACTGAGGGTCATGTTAGATGGTTTGCCGCCCTTCACAGAAACACTTAAACCACTCATACTCTGTCTTTTGAGTTACAGCTTCATCTCTGTGCACAACTGTGAGCATTTTGTGGGTTTCCGATACTGATTGTATGTTCAAATATTTCTTGCTTATTCGATTTCTGTGACCATTCACCGAACTTTTCGGTCACACCTTGTAGCTTCACCCCCATGTAAGATTTCTTGAAGCAAATCAGGGAGAATGCTCAAGCAGCAGGTCATTCGGAGGGGTCCTTAGAGTAGACCCATTGAAAGTTCATTCAGGTATAATAACTTTCTTGGGTTTGAGTATGACTAGCATAGAATACAACCCTTTCTGTTTTGGGTAGGTTTCAGAATTGTTAGCAATGAATATGCATATATATGTACAGTGGTACCTCGGGTTACATACGCTTCAAGTTACAGACTCCGCTAACCCAGAAATAGTACCTCGGGTTAAGAACTTTGCTTCAGGATGAGAACAGAAATCGCGCTCCAGCAGTGCGTCGGCAGCAGGAGGCCTCATTAGCTAAAGTGGTCTTCAGGTTAAGAACGGACCTCCGGAACGAATTAAGTACCGTATTTTTCGCTCCATAAGACACACTTTTTTCCTCCTAAAAAGTAAGGGGAAATGTGAGTGTGTCTTATGGAGCGAATGGCGCTGCGCAGAGAGGGAGAACTGCGTAGCGCCCCTTCAGGGCCGCGCCTGTCCGGCGAAGCCAGAGGACTTCGCTTGGCTGAAGGGGCGTTTCGCAGTTCTCCCTCTCTGCACACTGCCTTTCCTGAGAAGGAGAGGCACTGCACAGAGAGGGAGAGCTGCGCAACGCCCATTCAGCGAAGCGCCTCTCCTGGCTTCTGCCTCTTCAAGCCAGGGGAGCCTTCATCCCGCTGCCCGGGAGAGGCTGCGTGCCGCTATCCCATAAGCCAGGACAGCAAGAGGGATCGCTGTGCAGTGATCCTGCTTGCTGTCCTGACTTCTGGGATAGCCCCGGGCAGCCTATTCCAGGCAGCGGGATCCTTCCTCCTGCTGCCCTGAAGAGGCTTGGCACGGCTATCCCAGAAGACAGAACAGCCAGAGGCTATCCCAGAAGCCAGATCCCTCTTGCTGTTCTGGCTTCTGGGATTCAGAATATTTTTCTTCTTGTTTTCCTCCTCCCAAATCTAGGTGCGCCTTATGGTCTTGTGCTTCTTATGGAGCGGAAAATACGGTACTTAACCCGAGGTACTACTGTATTCAGCTATGCAACATTCCTAAGTAGTCTTAATGAGTTCCAAGGGACCCCAACTGAAGGATGTTCGGAAGTGACAGTAGTGAAGGGATTGCCTTGCGCTAAAGATTACAAATTTACCAAAGCATTCATTAAACGGGCCAGCCTGCAGCCTCACGTTTTGCTCAGAATATCTGCAAATTTATGTTTTAAGCTTTCAGAGGTTTAATTAGGAGCTGTCTGGTTTGTGGCAATGCTTTAAGTTCCATCCACCTTTGGGTCTTCTTCCTTTTGCAGATGATTTCAGCCGAGTTCGATTGGCCTCAATGAATGAAGAAGAAGGTTCAGATTACATCAATGCCAACTATATCCCTGTAAGTGAACTGGACTCAAAGCATCCAAAAGAATAATATGAGGGTGATGGCTTGCAAAATACCATGCAGGCCAGTGCAAGAGCCAAACCTTTCAACATATTCCCCACCTCCCTTTAACAGAGAACTTGGTTGCGTGAAAATCAATTTAAAAGTGAAACAGAACCATACCAAAATGGGGGGGGGTGTTTTCCATATGCATGATGAATTCCCTGGGAATGCAGGTGTATACATGTATTTCAATTACAAGCAGAATCCATTTTTAAAGGTTGAAATGATGCACGAAGCACCTGTATAATCATGGGATTTACCGAATATTGGTGGCAGGCAGTGCTTTTCTTCAGGGGGGTGGGACACAGGGGTACACATACCCCTAAACATTTTGTGAATCTAAGTCTGGCCTCATTGAGGGGCAGTATTTCAATATGAGTAGGAAAATGAGAGTACCCCTAAACATATTTTTTTTAAAGAAAAAAAAAGCACTGGTAGCAGGTGAACTTTCAGAGTGAGGAAGGGGCCTTAAGGAGGAACAGGCTGTATGAGCTTCTCAATCGAGCTTCGTACTTATTTAGATAAGCTATATACCACTTAACATTTTGAGAGAGAAAAATGTTACAAGCATAGGCTTGCATTTTTGTTGCGAGGCCCACTTGCAGTGATGAATAAAAGCCCATTCTTAACATTCTGTCCCAGACCTGCTTGTTCAGGAAACGGGACCCAGGATGGAGCTGTGTAAGCGAAGCTGTGAACTGGATTTCCCAACGGCTGAGGTCACCAGAGGCAGGAAGAAAGCTCCACCTCGTGCATACTTTGACAGTGTCCCCCAATATACCTCTTTTCTTTTTCTTACATGAGGATGGAACTACATGCAGGCAACCTTACAAGAGGGGAGTGGGCAGAAGGACTAAAGTCCCTGCCAAGACTGACTGAGGCTCTGAACCACCATCAGACACATGCAAAAAATAATAATCAGGGATGGTTATGGTCAAGACCAGTTGATAAAATGGGAAGGACAAGTGCAGTCCCAACCCAGCATGGCTCTGCAGAAGGAGAAGCCAAGCTGAGTCGAGAGCGAATGTGTGTGAGAAGCAATGGGTGGGGAAGAAATTTGAATCGGTTCCCATTTAATGGTGATTCCACCTCATTCAGTATGAGGCAGCTTCCTATGTTGTTCCTGTGCTTTCGAAAGAAATACCCCAAATCTAAAGCCAATCTGAAGGAGCCACCACATGCTTTCTCTTTTAGGGTTACAACTCTCCCCAAGAGTACATCGCCACCCAGGGGCCACTGCCAGAGACGAGGAACGACTTCTGGAAGATGGTTCTCCAGCAGAAGTCGCAAATCATCGTCATGCTCACGCAATGCAATGAGAAAAGAAGGGTATGTATGTGTGAAAAATCCTCTAAGCCTCTTGAAATCTGCAGTGGATCTACGTTCCCTCTTACCCAGAATTCTGTTCTCGGTTACAGTCATTCAGAATGCCATAGTCCTCATAAATAGGGTGTTAAGGGGATAATCAAATATACATTGCCTCAAATCATGGATGTTCTGTTTAGTCATCATGGCTAATTTTTATCAATAGAACCACACTCTATTTATTTTATTTATATCCCACCCCTTCTCCCAAGAGTTCAAAGTGATATACTTGGTGAGAACCAGTGTATTACAGTGGTAAGGGTGTCGGATTGGGACCTGGGAGACCATGGCCTTACTTGGCCATGAAGCTCACTGTGTGATCCTGAGCAACACTGCTTCTCTGTCTAACCTACCTCACAGGGTATTTGAGGAAGGGGAGAAGAACCATGTATGCCTCCTTTAGCTATTTGAGAGAAAGGTGAGATATAAATGCAATGAAACAAGTAAGCAGTCCTTCCTTGTGCCTGTTTTATCCTTAAATCAGTCCTGAGAAGCAGCTTGGATTGAGAACCTGTAATTGGCCAAAGGCCACCTTAATATCTGAGTCAGGATTTGATCCCTGCTGTTCCAGGTATTGTCCAGTGCTCTAACCACTGCACCACACTGTCACTTTAAAAGCCATCTAATCTATTGACCCATCACCACATTTTGTAGAAGTGATTTCCACTGGGTTAGAGTTACACATGGCATGGTGTGCTTCCTCTTTTTCTGTTTGAAGCCTCCTGCCGCTCAGTCTCATTGAGTGCCTGTGTTCTCATACTACGAAATGCACAGACACATATATTTTCTCCACTATCTCCCAAACCATTCATACTTCTGATGTAGGGACATCAAAGTGAATGTTAGCTTCCCGCAGCGTGCAGTTTACTGACTCCCCGGGGAGCAGTTTCCTTGTTATAATAGGGAGAAGATTACATTCAAATCTTATCTCCACATTATATGACATGCTTTCCCTTACGTTCCATGTGTAATCAGGTCTACGGAAAACGTACAATGAAATACAGCCCTCAGTAATCACATTGCTACATATCAGAGGTGAAACCTTTATAGGGAATAGACTCTGTGTGGTTTTTGTGTGTGTGTATGCGCACCTGTCATGCGCAGTACATGGAGCTGGGTGCAGAATTCAGCTTCTAAAGATTCTTTTTTTGGGGGGGGGAAAAACCTAACAAACTATGTTTCTAGTCCTTAGCAGAAATTGTGTGCATATATTTTTATACACACATGCACACACAAAGTTGGCATCTTTCTGTTTTGAGAGGCAATAGAGTGCCTCTCTGGAGGTGAAGTCAAATTGCTACATTAGCAGCACCAAAGTGACCTATGGGGCACAAGCCTGGGCAGTCTGTATGGGGGTCCTGTGCTGCCCAGACAACAAGACCCTCCCCTCTTGACCTTACTGATAGGGTTCAAAGGAAGGCAGCACAATACGTTTGGCACCAGCTTGGCTGCAGGAGTTGCTGGAAGGAGGCAAAAAAGGCACCATCCAATCATTTTAGGGACTCCGGATTTGTGTAGAGTTTATTCCTAAACCAGCTCCAACTGGTACACAGGCCTCAGCCTACCTGCCCGCAGACTGTCTCGCCAGAGTGGTGCATGCTCTAGTTATCTCCCGCTTGGACTACTGCAATGCGCTCTATGTGGGACTACCTTTGAAGGTGACTCGGAAACTGCAGTTAATCCAGAATGCAGCAGCTAGACTGGTGACTGGGAGTGGCCGCCAAGACCACATAACACCGGTCCTGAAAGATCTTCATTGGCTCCCAGTACGTTTCTGAGCACAATTCAAAGTGTTGGTGCTGACCTTTAAAGCCCTAAACGGCTGCGGTCCTGTATAGCTGAAGGAGCATCTCCACCCCCATCATCCAGCCCGGACACTGAGGTCCAGCTCTGAGGGCCTTCTGGCGGTTCCCTCATTGTGAGAAGTGAGGTTACAGGGAACCAGGCAGAGGGCCTTCTCGGTAGTGGCGCCTTCCCTTTGGAACACCCTCCCAGCAGATGTCAAGGCAATAAACAACTATTTGACTTTTAAAAGACAACTGAAGGCAGCCCTGTTTAGGGAAGTTTTTAATGTCTGATGCTGTATTGTTTTTAATATTCAGTTGGAAGCCACCCAGAGTGGCTGCGGAAACCCAGCCAGAAGGGTGGGGTATAGATAATAAATAATAATAATAATAATAATAATAATAATAATAATAATAATAAACCTTTTCTTCTTTGGATTTGGGCTTAAGCTACGACGCTTACCAAGACTTTGAAAAGTTTTCCTTGACTCATTTTCTTCCAGGTGAAATGTGATCACTACTGGCCTTTCACGGAAGAGTTGGTTCCTTATGGGGACATCACAGTGGAGATGCTGTCTGAAGAAGAGCAATCGGATTGGGTCTTTAGGAATTTCAGAATCAACTATGTAGGTTTTTTTGTTTTTACTAATGTTGTTCGTCCTGCAGACTTTGGATCTAAATTCAAACCTCTTGTAAACACAAACCTTTTCTTAATAAAGTGTATCCATAGTGGGCTGCCTTGCCCCATATATATCCCTGCCCAGCAATTGTGGTCTTTAGATGGGGCACCGCTGAAAGTACTGCATGCCCCCAAAGTGCACATACCTTATACTAGAAACTGGGCTTTTAGTGTTGCAGCTCTAGCCCTCTGGAATAGATTGCCGGCTGAAATTAGCCATGATGTTTAGGCACTTATTGAAGACGTTTCTGTTTAAGAAGCCTTTCCTGGAGGTTTGACCCAGTCATTGGTGAAATACCACCTGGGCATCTATGGGAATGGCTTTATAGTTTTGCAGTCTGTAGAAATGGGTTTAATTGTTCTTGGATATTGTATTTTATTTTTCATTTTATCTTGCACACCTCTTTGAGGGCCTTAGGCTGTGAAGAGGTTTATAAATTTGCAAAATTATAATAATGATAATAATTTTGGGAATGTTTATTTTAAAGCAGCCAATCTTGAGTAGGGCCCTGGCTGGGCTTGGGGTTGGGGTGCTTTAACCCTTTACTCCCGCTGTTGCCCCAGTCTGGATTTCCAGGGACTGTGACTTTCATCAGGAGGTAAATTCCAATGGCTACCTTTCTCACTTTTCAAAACGTCCCTGGCCTGGGGTTGGTGGCCACCGATTTATAAAGGCGACGGCTGCTAAGCACCACTTTTCTTTCTCTTTTCCCCAGGCTGATGAGGTGCAGGATGTGATGCATTTTAATTACACGGCTTGGCCTGACCACGGAGTCCCTCCCACAAACGCAGCAGAAAGCATCTTGCAGTTTGTACAGATGGTCAGGCAACAGGCAGCAAAAAGCAAAGGCCCCATGATCATACATTGCAGGTGAGCCTCCTTCTTGCAATGCCTTTGAAGCGCTCCGCTCACAAAGATGGCTCTGCAATTTGTTGTTGTTGTTAGTATTGCTATTGTTTCATTTATGTGTTTTTTTAAAAAAACAATTTTTATTGAAATTTTACATTTTTTGAACATCAAAATATCATAACATATAACAAAAAATACCATCCCCCAATTCCTCTTCTGGTTTTTTTGGCATATTATCTCTCCCTACTTATTGGTTATTTCTTATTCTTTAACTTTTTTAACACAAATATTATTATTCTCTTATCATTTCAACATCCTCATTCTATTTTGTTAATTGCAAGTGTTTAATCAAACCCTGCAAATGAGTCCATTTCTTTACATTGATTCTGTAAATATGACATGAATGGTTCCCAGTCTTTCTTAAAGTCTCTCTTGTCCTTGTCTTGAAGTCTTTCTGTTAATTTTGCCATTTCAGCATCTTCCATCTGTTTTCCTTGCCATTCTCCTTTAGTTGGTATTTCAACACTTTTCCATCTTTGTGCTAGCAATATTCTGGCCGCAGTTGTAGCATACAGTGGTACCTCGGGTTACGAACAGTCCTGCTTATGAACGCTTTGGGTTACGAACTACACAAACCCGGAAGTAGGTGTCCCGGGTTGTGAACGTTGCCCCTGGATATGAACGCAATCTGCTTCCGGGGCCACGGGAGGCCTATGTAGGGAATGCATAGGGTTAAGAACAGACTTCCGGAATGAATTAAGTTTGTAACCCAAGGTACCACTGTACAGGAAAAGCTTTTTTCTTCTCTTTTGGCAAATCTTGACCTGAAATGTCTGGAAGGTGTTGTTTTTTTTTGTTATTGTTTCATTTATGAACTGCTTCCCAGGAAACATCTGAAAGAAGCTTCACAATGGACAACATAAAGTTAGCCCTCTGCACATAAATGTCAACGTTTTCCTTTTTTTAAGGGAAAGTCCCTTATTCCGAATAGGATTCCTCGCAAGAAAAGGGAAAAGTTGACAGCTATGCCTCTGTAGCATAAGTACCGTATTTTTCGCACTATAGGACGCACTTTTTCCCCTCCAAAAATGAAGGGGAAATGTGTGTGCGTCCTATGGTGCGAATGCAGGCTTTTGCTGAAGCCTGGAGAGCGAGAGGGGTCCGTGAGCACCGACCCCTCTCGCTCTCCAGGCTTCAGGAAGCTATCCCAAGTCTTGCAAGCCCGGCGGGATGTCCCGCGGGCTCGCAAGGCTTGCGGGCAGCAGCCTGCACCCAAAAGCTGGGGACAGCGGGGAGGCGCAGAGCCGCCACCCCGCTATTCCCCGACCTGATCTGGAGGCTGGGGGTGGGAGAAGCAAGCCTGCTTCTCCCCCCCCCACCATCCCCACAACCTCCAGATCAGGTCGGGGAACAGCGGGATGGCAGCGCTCCGCCATCCCGCTATTCCCCGACCTGATCTGGAGGCTGGGGGTGGGAGAAGCAAGCCTGCTTCTCCCCCCCCCCCAGCCCCACAACCTCCAGATCAGGTCGGGAAATAGCGGGATGGCGGCGCTCCGCCATCCCGCTATTCCCCGACCTGATCTGGAGGCTGGGGGTGGGAGAAGCAAGCCTGCTTCTCCCCCCCCCCAGCCCCACAACCTCCAGATCAGGTCGTGGAATAGCGGGATGGCGGTGCTCCGCCATCCCGCTATTCCCCGACCTGATCTGGAGGCTGGGGGTGGGAGAAGCAAGCCTGCTTCTCCCCCCCACCAGCCCCACAACCTCCAGGCTTCAGGAGAGCCCCACCGCCAGCCCCACAAGCTCGGGGGACAGCGGGAGAGGCGCAGCGCGCCATCCCGCTGTCCCCCGACTTGGCTGGAAGGCTGGCGGGGGGAGAAGCCTGCTCCTCCCCATCGCCAGCCCCGCAAACTCGGGGGACAGCGGGAGAGGCGCAGCGCGCCTTTGCCGCTGTCCCCCGACTTGTCTAGAAGGCTGGCGGGGGGAGAAGCCTGCTCCTCCCCGTCGCCAGCCCCGCAAACTCGGGAGACAGCGGCAGGGGCGCAGCGCACCCTTCCCGCTGTCCCCCGACTTGGTTAGAAGGCTGGCCCAGCCCCGCAAACTCGGGGGACAGCGGGAGAGGCGCAGCGCGCCATCCCGCTGTCTCCCGACATGGTTTGGAGGCTGGCGGAAGGCTTCCTCCTCCCCCAGCCCCGCAAGCTCCCAGAGTGATGCCAAAGCTGCGTGCAGCTTCGGCATGGCTCTGGGTCCCGTTCTGGGGGAGGGGGAAGCTCGGGCTTCCCCGCCCCAGCCCCGCGCCTGGCGGGGGGGGAATAATTTTTTTTTGCCTTTATTCCCCCCCCCCCCAAATCTAGGTGCGTCCTATGGACCGGTGCGTCCAATAGTCCGAAAAATACGGTAATCTCCTATGATGACGGTGGTGGATGTTTGCAATATGAATACAGTTTTCCAAAATGGGGCTGTATTTCAAGCACATTCTCACTTAGGGATGAGGGATAAATTTGATGGGATTTACATGTGAAGGTGAACCTACGTAATATGCACTTTATTATTTTTTTTGCAAGAATACTAGAACCGAGACACAGCCATCTTTTAAAATGTGTGCTTTTCTGAATTTTGCAATGCAGCTCTGGGTTCAAAAATGCATTGTTTTAGCGGGGAATTGATTTGCAAATTTCCCCCCATATATTAAGCAAAATCACATAGAGGAAAAACTTGCGTAATAAATAAAATTCATTAGAACTTTTATTTGGTTTTATTTTGCAAACTGGTGCGAAAGAAACAAACTGACGTTGAAATGTGGGTCTTCAGCCTGGATAAATGAGCAACAAAAAATGGATAGAAGTGCCCATCCCTATTCCCACTGCTCCTTTTTGTTTTGCAGTGCCGGCGTGGGACGGACGGGGACTTTTATAGCATTGGACCGACTCTTACAGCACATTCGGGACCACGAGTTTGTAGATATATTGGGGCTGGTGTCCGACATGCGGTCCTATCGGATGTCTATGGTACAGACAGAGGTAAGACTTTATTTGCGGGATTTATACCCTGTCAATCCCAGGGGGCTTTCAGAAAGTTAAAATGACCATAACCACCCCCACCCCCCAAACAATTGAAATTTAGCAACATGGCAGAGCAGCATCAAAGCAATCTGCAGAAGTGAAACTAGCACAAAGCCACATGAAGGTTTGTAAAGCCTGAGAAAGCTTTTATAAAAGTCCTTGCCTGCCATCGAAATGACAACAAGATCGACACCAGGTTGTTGGTTATTTTGCAGATTAGTTGCGCTGCAGGTGTGCTGGGGAGACCACACATTCAAGAAACACAGAAGTAACTTTTGCGTGGTTTTAATAACAAAAACAAAAACTCTGTTTACACTAAATTACATTATCTCAATAAGTATGACCCATTCACCAGGATAATGAGAGAGCTACATGCTGCTCTTTATATACTATACCCAATTGCTGACACAGGTTAATTAACACAACAGCACCTGCTATACTGCTTCACAGCTGTAAAGCTAGGTCATGTTAATTTCTCTGGCCTTTAAAGAGATACACATCTTGTGAAACAATAATGAACCTTAAAGAAACCATTCAACACAGCTGAGCCTCCTTGAGGAAAACATTCCACACTCGGTGCCACCACTAAGGAGACCCTTTCTTCTGCAGCCACCTGCCCCACCTCAGGTGTGTGCCCAAAGAAGGAGCTCCACTGAACACCTTAGCATGCAGAAGAAGAGCTGTGCAGGATCAAACCAAAGACCCATCTATCCAGGATTCTGTTCCCACAGTGGCCAACCAGGTGCCTCTGGGAAGCCTGGAGGCAGGGCTGGAATGGAGACAGTGTCTGCCACACTCGAGGGAAGCAGACTAGCTTAGGGGATGCAGGGCCATCCTTAAATACTTGGCCACACTCACTCACAGCTCTGCCTGGTGCCTGCTCACTGCCTGCTTGAATGCTGCTGCAGCAGTAGGCACCATATGGACACAGCAATGCATGTGCATGGACACAAGAAGAGCCTGCTGGATCACAGGCCAATGGTCCATCTCACAGTCTTGCATCACTTAAAATCATAGAGTTGTAGAGTCGGAAGGGACCCTGAGGATCATCTAGTCCAACCCCCTGCAATGCAGCTGTCCCATATGGGAATCGAACCTGCAACCTTGGCGTTATCAGCACCACGCTCTAACCAACTGAGCTATCCAAGCTGAACTGTGTGGTGTGTGGAGAAGCACCTCCTTTCATCTTTCCTGAATCTCCTTCAGCTTCACTGGATGATCCCAGTTTCTAGTTTTATGACAGCAAGGACAAGAGGGTGGGACTTCTCCGCTTTCCCACACCATTCTTAAATTTAATGGGGACATGGGTAGCGCTGTGAGTTAAACCACAGAGCCTAGGACTTGCTGATCAGAAGGTCAGCGGTTCGAATCCCCGCGACGAGGTGAGCTCCCGTTGCTCGGTCCCTGCTCCTGCCAATCTAGCAGTTCGAAAGCACGTCAAAGTGCAAGTAGATAAATAGGTACCGCTCCAGCGAGAATGTAAACGGCATTTCCATACACTGCTCTGGTTCGCCAGAAGCGGCTTAGTCATGCTGGCCACATGACCCGGAAGCTGTACGCCGGCTCCCTCAGCCAATAAAGCAAGATGAGCACCTCAACCCCAGAGTTGGCCACAACTGGACCTAATGGTCAGGGGTCCCTTTACCTTTACCTAGCATGCCCTCCCCCTTACACTCCTTTTTCCTAAGGAGCGTTCAATATTGCAACCTTTTCTCACCGGAGAGTTGTTCCAACCCCTTGGTTATTTTGATCACCACAATTTGTTTTGCCCCTTTTCCAATTCAGTGATATCCTTTCTCGTTGAGGTGCAGTGTACACAGTATTCCCAGTTTATTTTATTCTCAAACCCTTTGCTTAACGATCTGTAACATGGGCAGGTTCATGCAGGGATGAGCAGTTTTGCGGGGGTCCCAGTCTCAAGCTCTTGAGGTCTTTAAATGTCAAGATGAGCACTCTTCATTGAGCCCGGAAACAAATTAGGAGCCAGTGTGGTTGGCCTAATGTGATCACAGCATCTAGTCCCAGTTAACGGCCTCAAACTTAGGGATGGGGAAAACTGATTTCACATTTAAAAGGCAAATCTACCCAATTCGCTTTCTAGAAACCATACGCAAACGAAAACACAGCCGTCCTGTGAAATTCACTCGTCTCTGAATGTTGCGATGCAGTCCTCCAGTCAAGTGATATGTACGAAAATGCAAATTATTGAAGTGTGTCTAAAGGGGCATTAGTGAAAACAGCATACCATAATGTTTGGCATTAGGGAAAATTGTTTTACAAAATTGCAAAGAAAACAATTGTATACTTGGAGGAATTTGAACTGAAGCACTGACAAATTTGAACTGAAGACTCTTAAAAATAATAATCACAAAGAAATGTGGAGAACTGAACTTGAGAATGGTAAAATGAGAACCAAAGAGAAAACTAAATTGACAGATTTCCGCATCCCTTGTGTGTATAAAACCAGGCCTTTCTGACACGCTGCACCTCTCTGTGGAGCAGATCAGGGTACTGTCAGGTGAGCTGCTGTTCCTTTCCCCCCCTTATCTATGCCACCCACTTGTTTGCATAGTGGCGCTCAATTAGCTTTCCTCCAAAGTGCCCACGCACTAGTGACTGCCAGCTTCTGTGCAGTTTCCGAGTTCCTGCTGTTTGCCAGCTGGCCTCTCCTCCTGTTCCATTGGCAGAGCATCGCTGCATCCCCCCTCTCTGTCTCTCATGCACAAACACAGCAGACAGCAGGGCTTTGTAATGCTTCAGCAAACCGGATCTGGATTAAAGAACACCCCAAACCCGTGCCAGTATTTAACACTCAGGAGCAGGATATGATGAACTAGTTGCCAGGGGCTGGAGTGTCCAGGGAAGCGGGGAGGGAGTCAGTAAGCAAAGGAGAAACCACAAGATTTAATCCTCTATATAGGCTTGGGATATAGGAATATAAATGTGGTCCTCCAAGCCTCTCTGTCTGGCCCTTGGGTCCTTCGCCAATACTACCCCGGGTTATCCTTGATTGCTTTTACCTGGAAAGCATCCTTGAGCTCTCATAATGCCTTTGAAATGGAGCTGTGCTTTCATCCCGTCCTTTCAATTCTGAGCTTGCTGGCCCAACCTCTGAAGTAAGCAGGTTGACCCACCTGCCCATGACACCTGCTCCTGAGCTATTTATTTCAGCAGATCTGAATGCTTCACCCCACCTCAAAATAATAATAATAATAATAATAATAATAATAATAATAATCCAAAGCAGTAGTTTTGTAATCTGGTGAACCAGGTTCACTTCCCCGCTCCTCCAGATGCAGCTGCTGGGTGACCTTGGGTGAGTCACACTTCTTTGAAGTCTCTCAGCCTCACCTCACAGAGTGTTTGTTGTGGGGGAGGAAGGGAATGTTAGCCACTTTGAGACTCCTTCGGGTAGTGATAAAGTGGGATATTAAATCCAAACTCTAATAATAATAATAATAATAATAATAATAATAATAATAATAATAATAATATATTACGTGTACTAAATCCTTTTGATTGGGTTGCCCTAGCCACTCTGGGCGGCTTCCAACAGAATATAATGGATCAAAATGAAACATCAAACATTAAAAGCTTCCTGATATAGGGCTGCCTTCAGATGTCTATGGAAAGTCGTATAACCACTGCTTTTTTTCTAGAAAAATAGGTGCTATGAAGTTGTTACAGTAAGTGCCACACTTTTTAACAACAACAAAAAATAGGTGCCAGTACTGAGTATCCCCTGAAAAAAAGCACTGCGTATCATTATTTATCTCTTTGACATCTGATGGGAGGCCATTCTACAGCGCAGCTGCAACTACTAAGAAGGCCCTCTGCCCGGTTCCATGTAACCTCACTTCTCACAGTGAGGGAACTGCCAGAAGGTCCTCGGAGCTGGATCTCTGTGTCCAGGCTGAATGATGGGGATGGAGACGCTCCTTCAGGTATACAAGGCTGAGACTCTGTAGGGCTCTGTAGGGAACCAACACATGGAATTGGGCTTGGAAATGGGAGCCAATGTAGATCCTTAAGGACTGGTTTTATATGGTCCCAGTGGCCACTCCCAGTCTAGCTGCCTCCTTCTGGATGAGTTGTAGTTTCCAAGTCACCTTCAAAGGTAACCCCATGTAGACAGCATTGCAGTAACCCAAGTGGGAGATAACCAGAGCTGGTAGACAATTGTCCTGGACATGGAATAAACTTGTACATTTCCGAGCACAATTCAAAGTGTTGGTGCCGACCTTTAAAGCCCTAAATGGCCTTGGCCCAGTATACCTGAAGGAGCATCTCCACCCCCATCGTTCTGCCTGGACGCTGAGGTTCAGTGCTGAGGGCCTTCTGGCGGTTCCCTCACTGTGAGAAGCAAAGCTACAGGGAACCAAGCAGAGGGCCTTCTCGGTAGTGGCACCTGCCCTGTGGAATGCCCTCCCACCAGATGTTGAAGAGATAAACAACTACCTGACATTTAGAAGACATCTGAAGGCAGCCCTGTTTAGGGAAATTTTTAATGTGTGACATTTTAATGTATTTTTAATCTTTGTTGGAAGCCGCCCAGAGTGGCTGGGGAGACCCAGCCAGTTGGGCAGGGTAATAATAAAAAATTATTATTATTATGCCCCTCTATGGATAGCTGTGAGTGACGGAAGCTTCAGGAAGTGAGAATCCCCCTAAAACTCCTATGCAGGGGGGAAATTTTGCAAAAACTCTCACCACAAAGCATATTTCTGATCATGTGCCTCTCTCTCTCCGCACCACGAATGCTCTTTAAATAACCAAACTTACACGCTTTCTGGTTTGGCACTTCCAGGAAAGAACAATTCTGCCTCTTTTAATTGTCCCTCCATCGGTTGAAAGCGAGTTGATCCAAGGGAGGGGAAATACTTCTGTTAACAACCACTAGATGTCAGTGCGCTTTAAGGAGCCGGAAGCCAACCAACCTTGGGAGGGTTGTGAATGTTTCCGCAGAAAACTTGAAACCACACTGTGCTCACCACTCACCTGGTCTCAGGTTACCTTCTGAAGTGGAAAATGAATTGGTTACAGTCACCGCATCGTTCTCAAGCCTTCTGGGTGAGGTGAAGGCCAATGCTGCGTGCAGATAGGAAAAAACTGGAAGCCTGCTTTTCAAAGGAGTCTCTTGGACCCTGACAAGGCTGGTCACTGAACCTGAAATGTTCAAATGAAACCTGCCATGAAAGTCATGAGAATATAACCAGTTCAGACCCCAGGACCAATCTTGACAGAGCAACAAATTATATGAAAAGTTCCTCCGAATGTTCAGAACAGTTCCCCTTCCTTTTTTCCTTTTCTTTCATGCTGTCCGTATAACATTGATTTTTATTTTATTTCTTGCTCCCAACTGTCCCAGGGAAGCTGATGTTATTTCTGGGATCCGTCAGGATCAAGAAGACTGCTTTTAGCACATGCGTAATGGATGTGGGTGGCTGGGTTCGTAAAACAGATCCCACTGGATCTGATAGACTGCCTTTTGGTCTCTCTCTCTCTCCGCAGGAACAATACATTTTTATTCACCAGTGTGTGCAATTAATGTGGCTAAAGAAAAAGAAGCAGTTCTGCATCAGCGACGTTATATATGAGAATGTCAGCAAGTCATAATTCCAGGCCAGGCGGTGAGTCTGAGGAGCCTTCTTTGGCTTTCATGCTTGAGTTTTGATTGCTCGCTCAGGAGCAGCTGCTGTCATAAATATTAAAGCCCCAGCCCCTTTATTTATTGCAAGGACCGTGCCTTGAAGCCAGATACTCCCATCCAGCTAGCATACGGCAAACGGGTTCTGCACATGGAGTGCTGGCTTGATGGGTCCTACCTGTGCTTGCAACGCAAGAGGCTCAGCCGCCAGAGCTGCCCATTCACAGCCGGGTTTAAAAATAAATGGTAGTGCCAAACACAACTGCTTGGGAGGAGATGTAGAGCTGGATTTCAACAAGTGGTGGTCCGTATCCATTGGGCAGGGTGCAAGGCAGGAGGCCAACAGCAGGTGGAGCCAGAGCCGTTAGGCTGTATTCAGCAAAATAGAATCAGTAACACAAGGATTTCTGCTTGCACTATGTATCCCTCTGCCCTGCAGTAAGGGGGCATTAATAATACTGAATTATCTACACACACACAAGCATTAATGTGCAAGTTGCTAACATGTAAGTATATAAATAGGGGTGCACATCTGAATATGCATCAGGATGCTCTTCCCGTTCAATGCAAGGCAGAGAGGCTGCATCTTCCTTTGAAAATGTATCTCCAGTCTATGTTATTTGCTCCCAGTCCAGCCAGGAATATGCCTGCCTGAGCCCTGCTTACATGCGCAAGTTTCTGAACTGCATCAGGGCAATTGTGATGACATGCGTGCAGAGTTTTCAGCTGCTGTGCTCTGTAAATACAAAGTGTTATTAATGTTAATTGATCAGTGGATGCCAATTTGAGTCGGTGGGGCTACAAGTCAAAAGGACCGTTTATTTATTTCTGGGCCTTGTTTGGCTCCGGGTGTGATCCTGCAATAAAGAAAGAAAAAGAGAAGTAAAAGTGGCTTTCCCCTTTCACAGCGAGGAATTACCGTATTTTTCGCTCTATAGGACGCACTTTTTCCCCTCCAAAAATTAAGGGGAAATGTGTGTGCATCCTATGGAGCGAATGCAGGCTCCTTGGCTTCAGCGATAGCAACGCAAAGCCTTCGAAGCGCAGAGGGAGTGCTCTCTTGGCGCTCCGGAGGCTATGCGTTGCTTTCGCTGAAGCCTTTGGAGTGCAGCGGGAACTCACACTCACACTGCGATCTGAAGGCTTCGGGTTCCTTTTGCTGAAGCCGGGAGAGCAAGACTCCCCTGGCTTCAGCAGAGAAGGAGATCTGTGCAGCGCCCCTTCAGCGAAGCGGGAGGAGAAATGGAAGGGGCTCCATTTCTCCTGCTGCTTCACTGAAGGGGCGCTGAGCAGAGAGGGGGAGATTTTTTTTCCTCTTGTTCTCCCCTTCTAAAACAAGGTGCGTCCTTTGGTCCGGTGCGTCCTATAGAGCGAAAAATACGGTAGCTTTTGGAAAACCTACCTTACACTTTCACCATCACCACAAAAGGGGGCATATGGTTTTCTGTGGTGTGTGTGCGCGCGTGTGTTTTCACCTGCTAGGTAGAGGTCTGAGCATTGCCAGCTTGTTCTTCTGTGAAATTGGTATTTTGTTATACCCGCGGCCGTTTCTTAGATTTCCAAATTTCTTTCGTTCATTTGTGAATCGCTTCGCACAAAGCGAAAACATGAACCACAAGAGCATAAATAAAAACCAATCTCCATGTTGCCTGAGTTAAATTATAGACAATTAATCAGTGCAAAAGCATTTCACTGAATTGACGACCCTGCTACAATATTTGCTCATTTGATGGCTCATTTTTTAAAACTAAGGCTACAATATCTTTCTTTCTTTCTCCGTTGCAGGTTAGAACATGAAAGACATCCATCTTCCCTTGCTTCAGATTTTAATTCTCTCTGGGGTTTTTTGTTTTGTTTACTGTTCTGTTGATTTGCCATGGACGACAGTACCCATGGACAAGTGAAAAAAAGAAAGACGAGATTTCACATCCAGGAGCTCTGGGGAGACATAGCCTTAAGGAACCTGCAGTGTCTTGTATGGACTATTTTGTTTCTGTACCTTTTTTTAGACGTTTATAACACTGGACCAAATCCAACTCTGTGCTTCAGAAAGGTTTTCTGTCTTTCTCTTCTTACAAACCCTCTCTTTATTTATTTTGTAAACACGCAGGTTGGGCTTGAAGGTTAAGGAAAGTGCAATATTCGAGGCTCAATCCAAACGACAGTGAGCTTTCAAAGTGTGACTCTGGCGAGGTCTGTCAAAGGCAGGGCTAGGGTATTGAATGATACCTCATTGGCATGGAGCAAGGGACAGGAAGACTGTGGATCTCGGGGGAAGATCTTGGGATACTGCTGTCTATGCTCAAGAGGAACCTCCAAGTTGAGCCGTCCTCATAAAACAAACTGGCTCAAAGCTAGGTGCAAAGAAAACTTCACTTCACAGCCAACGTTTTAAAGATTGACTGAGACGACAGAACAGAGATCAATGGTGAAATTTCACAGCGCTTTGAGAAGCTCTGGAGATCCGTGCATCTCAGCAGAAATGTCTTCTAGCCTGTTCAACCAGCCTGTGTTATGGATAGAGGGGAAATGAACCCTGTGCGCCTGGATCCGGGGTGGAACTGTGAATGGACACAAAACAACCACTTTGGGTGATGAGTCTGGTCCAAATGTCATCACTATCCCCATTTAGTAGGAGCCTTTGCTGCCTGTTCCTTCTCCGTTGGCTTGGTTTTGTTTGTTTTCTGTGTAGTCGCCCTGTGCAAAAAAAAGCCACAACGAAACAAAAACAACACAAAACTAGGAAGTTTGTTGATGTTGTGGGAAGGGAAGTAAAGTGCAGTGGTAAACACACGTCGCTGGTGTCCAATGGCCTGAGAAAGGTGCAGAAGTGAGGATTTATCTTAGCATACTAGGCGCATGTGCTGCCCATGTATGCTGCTCATCAGCTGCAAGCCATTTATTCTGGAATCAGTAGTGCAACTTTTGGTAACCTGGTGTTTTGGACTACGTTTCCCATCAGCCCCAAGGCTGGGCTGGCTGAGGCTGATGGGGGACGTAGCGCAAAACACTCGTAGAGCAACCAACTGAGTTAGGATAACACAGCATTTCTTTTTTTCTTTGGGTTATCGTACTGATTAGGTGAGTCACACGTTGTGACAGAGATGCTGTCAGGATATTGGGGGTATTTTCTCGTTTGTGCCCCTTTTTATTTGACTTCTGTTTGACAGAAAGCTTCTGAAGGGATTGGCTCTGGAACTACTGGAAGCAAAATATAATACCCAGGAGGTGGGCCGAGTTGGAAGAAAGAACAAAAAACGCTGGATCTATGCTCCCGTTTGCAAAAACAGGGCAGTTTCAAGGAGTATGGCAGTGTGGTGCAGTGGTTAGTGCGCTGGATCAGGATTGTGAGGATAGCATGTGTGTCTGTGTGCCAGGGGGTGAATCCCACCTAGGCCAGGTTGAGCTCTTTGGAACATGGGTGAGATAGGAATGGATTCCCTTAATGTGAATATCTGGAGCTTTCCCCACCTTAAAGGTGTTCAAGGGGAAGGACCAACCAGAAGATTGTAGGCAGCCTTTCACCTTGAATGAATGGTGTGAAAACATGAAAGCTGGGGTGGGATTTGTGGCTGCCATGGACTGTCCAGTGCCAATGTACCTACCAACCAGGATGCCAAGGAAAGCCCTGAGGTTACAAGTTGGGAAGAAATGTTGTAAGTTGAGGATTTGGGGTGGAGGGAGTCAATGAGTGGTGGGGCACCTGCTTGGCATGCAGAATGTCCCAGGCTGGCTCCCCAGCATCTCCAGGTACGAGTGGCATTGTCCCCTACCTGAAAATCTGGAGAGGTGCTGCCAGTCAGTGTAGTCGGTACTCAGCTGGACCAATGTACATGGTATGGGGCAGCTTCCAACGTTCCTAACGTTGGGTATGGGGGGCATTCAGCCACCAGCCAGGTCTCCATGGTGGAGGCTGCCTGAGGCTGAGCAACAGAGAACCAATATGGTGTGATGGGCAAGTGTCCCAAATGTAGATAAGGCTTATGTCCCCAATTCCCTGCTCAGACAGAAGCTATTAAATGGTGTAAGAGCTAATGAAACAGTTTGAGAATGGGTGGGTGTTTATTTTTGCTGGGTGACTGCAAGAGAAATCACAGTTACAGAACTTGTGGTAGCTGCCCGCATCTGAAGCTTAATTCCCATTGCCTGCCAAATTAACAAATACATTTTAAAGCCTTTCCCCAAATCCAGATTTTATTTTATTTTTTATTACAAGTGAAGGGTGAACAGAGCACTGCCTTGCTACCCCCAGTCCCTGCAATAGATTTGTGGCAGGCAGTGGGCCAAATCTTTTGAGTGCTTGTCTTGGAAGTGCCCTTAAACTCTGCGGCAACCCCACAAGCTCAGCTCTGATCCAACCCCATCCACCTCCCTCCATGGAGCTCTTCTAGCCAAGCCCATATGCTTTTCCAGAATTTGTGGGCGCTCCTACAGATTTTTTTCTCTTGACTGACCAGCTTTCACAAGGACAGAGCATGGGATGTCACAGAAGTACGCCAGAGGCCAGCTGATCTCAAAAGACTTATTCCTCCTAGATTTTTGGACTATTTACTTACGTGCTGATGATCTAGCTCAGGAGAGCTGTGTGCTTGCAAGTAGGTTTCTAGGTGCTTATTAGGAAACCCAGGTGCCAATCAGATGTCTGGTAACATTTCAGATACGGTTTGCCACAACTCCCATCATACCTGACTGTTGGTCCTGCTGACTGTGGCTAAGTGTAGCCGGAGTCTGACAATATCTGAAGAGCCACAGGTTAGCCACCCTTGAACTAGGTCTTGCTTCTTATGGGATGTGTATTAAAAAACCCCACCCATGTCATCACAGTCAGGCTTGCATGTCTTTGAAAAGCATGACTTGGATGAGGGTGCTGTCCTTTAATCTGCTCAGTTAAATAAGCAGACTAGTAGTGTGATCCTGTACATGTACAGGCTTAGGATCAGGGCAAAAGGGCTCATCCTCACATCTGCTCGCCATGTGCCTAGAAAGCATGGGGCTAGTGGGTCTGAGTGGTTTCCCCCCTGCTCTTCTTCTTTCCCAGGGAAAACCCACTCTTTTGCTCTAAAGCAGAAAATAAATGGCCATTGGCAAAAGAAGCAGCAGCCTGATTGCCGTTTACTCCATTTGAACGCTAAAGAGCGGTTTTCCCCAGGCGAAAGCAGCAGGACAAGAGGGAGTGTGGATAAAGGCTAAGTCTTCAGGGTACAGGGTCTTTTTGACTTCAAAATGACCTTGCGCCACCAAGATGGCCAAAAACCTACCAACTGTATTTCTGCAGAGCCATACGACAACGTAAGCACCTCCTTGCACGCCTCTAAAGAAGCAATTTTCACGGGTGTTCGCAACATGAGAAACTTCCTCTGAAGCAAGTCCAGGTTTCGGTATCAAATGCTCTGCGGAAGCAGATCACACAGCACAGGCAAGTGTGACACAATGTTTTGCAAAGTTGCATTTTTGGGGGTACCAAAGGAAAGAGAGAACAAACCTCAGGCCATGTTAGCTTGCGTTTTGACCACACATACAAAAAGATGGAGGGTGGGGTGGAGCAGGCATTTTTGTAGTTGATGATACGTGCACTGAAGACGAGCTATGAATGTGCCATGCTCTCATTGCATACCAGCAGTCCCAGAGACCAGCAGTCCATCTGTCCTGGACTCGAGGACAGTGATTTCTGTGTGCTTGACCAAATTGTGCACCTCTTTCCTGCCCGCTGTCCCACTTTTTGGGGGTGCACACTTCCAAAATGAGATAAAAGCTAGCAAGCTGCCAGAGTTCAGACTCAAAACCAACCATTAGCATCGATTCAGGATTTTGATCAGCAAGTTATTAACACAAACTATGTGTGCGAACTGTGTGCGAACTCTCACAATGCGTAAGGGGGATCAGTGTTCAATTTTTACATAAAGAGGTGATGGGGTTTCGAACCTGCAGGTAATTCATGTTCTCTGAGCTGGATGTTCTTTGCTCAGAAACACCAGAAGCTGGTGTTTAGAAAGGGGAGTGCGCTTTGCACATGCTCAGGAGGTGCATTAGGAGCTCCTGGCTGAATCATGAAATCAAAAACCTGGTTGTCAGGAAAGTCTGGGTGTGCATGGTTACAGATTCTTACTGCTTTGCTCAAAGCATCTGGATTTGGGGGGTTTAAAAAATGATACTGGTGCTTGTATCTTGGTAAAAGTGCCATGGGTACCATCACAAAAAAACACTGGGTGCAGAGAAACCAAACATTATTGTGGCCTAGGGACCAACCTCATAGATCATCACAGTTATGCAGGCTTGTCACACCAGATGGCCACAGAAACATGGTTTTGTGTTGCTTTGCAATCCTATGGAAGAGCATGGGGCGACACCTCAAACAATTGTCTTGATTTCTTTCGGTTGGGACTGTTCTGAGTTTTGCAGCAATGTGTGTATTAGAAAAGTATTTCTGTGTTAGGCTTAGCTTCTTCGAGGTTGTAGAGTTATAGAATCTGAACATGGGGGCCAGAGCTGTATGAACATGAACGGCACAAATAACACTGATCGACGGAAAAACACCACCTAGATGGCTTGCTTCGTCTTTATTTTGTCATTGTGCAATTACTTGCAGAACCTTCTGTGTTGAGCAGCAATGAGAGGAAAAGTGGCATCTTTCTGCAATAGCCTGTTCCCGACATTTTCTCTCTTTCTGCCAGAGTCATGCCACTGATACAATTCGTTCACGACCATCTACAATGACTGGCAGGGGCTCTGCAGGATTTCAGGCGAGGATTCAGATTTTCCAGTCCTACTTGGGAGATGCTCGGGATTGGATCTGGGGCCTTGTTCAGGAATGTTCTGTCCCTGACTTGTGGTTCTTCCTTCTTCAACTCTGCATTTCAGAGACACAGAATGCTGGAACCTGACCTTGAGGAGGGAGAAAGACCTGGGGTCTTCCCTTATTGAAAAACAACACTCCACATCTTTTAGGCTTTTAGCTAGAGTACAGTGGTACTTCTGGATACGAACGGGATCCGTTCTGGAGCCCCGTTCGCAACCTGAACTAAACGTAAGATGTGACAGCGTGTGCGCGGGTCGCGTTTTGCCACTTCCGTGCATGTGTGTGACTTCATTTTGAGCATCTGCGCATGCATGAGCGGCAAAACCTGGAAGTAACGCACTCAGTTACTTCCGGGTCGCTGCGGAGCACAACCCGAAAGTATTCATCCCGAAGCTGCTTCAACCCGAGGTATGACTGTATTATAATTCAGTTGTCAGCCTATTGGAACGAAGAAAGCACACACTATTTAAAAGAGCTGCTATGTGCTGGGAACAACCAGCAAAAGCACACAAACCTGCAAAATACCCTTTGCAAAAAAACAAACAAAAAACCCTTCCGAGCACATTACATTGCTCCAGAGAAGCGGACACGGAGCAATGGATCCAAACTACAAGAAAGAAGATTCCACCTAAACATTAGGAAGAACTTCCTGACAGTAAGAGCTGTTTGACAGTGGAATTTGCTGCCAAGGAGTGTGGTGGAGTCTCCTTCTTTGGAGGTCTTTAAGCAGAGGCTTGACAACCATATGTCAGGAGTGCTCTGATGGTGTTTCCTGCTTGGCAGGGGGTTGGACTCGATGGCCCTTGTGGTCTCTTCCAACTCTATGATTCTATGATTCTATGAAAAGAGATCTGCCATTAATGTATGATGGCTGGCTAATTTTGCCCAAAACTGCTCACATGCTTTATCAAAATTACCAGTCCTTGTTTGGAGAACTGATGGTTTATGTGGGGGAAGAAAGGATCAAGAGCAGTGTAGCAAAAAGAGAAGGATGAGAGCTTTTGTGTGTGAGAGAGCGCACATGAGCATGAATGTGGGAAAGAACATGCACATGTGTTTGTTGGAGAAAAACATTAAGGTTTGTGCAAGGAGGTTTGTGCGCCAATCCTTTTCATGTGTGTCTTCCCCACAATGGTGCTGCCCAAACTTTTTCAATTACTTACCCTCAGCTGCAACAGTCCAATGACGAGACCAGTTTGGTGGGGGGGGTGTTCTTTTCATGCCCCCCTCCCCCGTGCTAGGATGACTGTCTGTATTGTCGTATCAAACAGTGCACAACGTTGCAGCATTGGGAGGAGGCTGAGTGTGGAGCCCAGCGTGGCGCAGCTTCCTCTCTCATGCTCAGGAGGAGCCAGCCGTTCAAATCCGGACTCAGTCTCAAAGTTTGAGTGGTGGTCTTTGGTCACTCACCAACTTGCTGGCTCACCTAGTCGTCGGGTGAATAAAATGGGGGGGGGGAGGGGGAATCCATCACGCAAGCTGCCTGAAGCTCCTTATTGGAAAGGCGAGATAGAAATGCACCAAATTACATAAAAATCCAAAGTTCCAATCTGCCAAATGCCCTGCTCTGCAGAGAATTTAGCTAGATGATAAATCCCGGTTTTCATACTGGTGTTTCTCCTTGAAGAGCCAATTCAAGAAATTATCGTATTTTTCACTCTATAAGACGCACTTTTCCCCTCCTAAAAAGTAAGGGGAAATGTGTGTGCGTCTTATGGAGCGGATGCAGGCTCCATGGCTTCAGCGAAAGCAACACGAAGCCTCCGGAGTGCAGTGGGAGCTCCTGGAGGCTTCGCATTGCTTTCGCTGAAGCCAGGAGAGCGAGAGGGGTTGGTGCGCACCGATCCCTCTTGCTCTCCTGGCTTGGCTTCACTGGAGAGGCGCTGCACAGCTTTCCCTCTCTGCACAGCACCCCTTCAGCGAAGCGGGAGGAGAAATGGAAGGGGCTCGGTTTCTCCTGCCACTTAGCTGAAGGGGCGCTGTGCACAGAGGGAGAGAATATTTTTTTTCTTGTTCTCCCCCTTTAAAACTAGGTGCGTCTTATGGTTGGGTGTGTCCTATAGAGCGAAAAATACAGTAGATTGTCATGTAGATGAGTCCTCCTAGGGACCATATAATGTCGGAATGCCGGTGGATGATCGCATTTAAATGTTTCATCTCAAAAGATCCTTGAAGATGGAAAGCTAGTATGAGAGGGGGGCCTACAGTAGAAATGTCCACAGCCAGAGTTGGCACAACCAGTTTGGCCACACTGGGCGCTGCACTGCAGGGGACACCACAAGTGAGCATGAGAGGCAGCGGCAGGAGGAATTTAATCATCACATAGGGTGCCACTGAAATTTGAGAGTCCGAAGTCCATCACTGCCTAACAAGCCAGGGAAATGCTTCAAAACTGCCTCTCTCTCTCTCTCTCTACACACACACACACACACACACACACACACACACACACTGAAATAAGTGCTAGAACTTGGGACTATACCACAGCTGGTTTCTAAATGTCTGAATCCATTCTTTTGGGACAAAAGGGGGGGGCAGAATGTTAACCTTTCACCCTTTGTTTCCACCCTCCCTTTATCACTACAGAGAATGCAAAGCATTTTACATACATCAAATAGTGTTTATTGCAGACTTTCAGCTGAGTCATGTGAAAAAGGCACCATGAAAATTAATAAAACTAGATGATTAATTTCTTCTAAATGACACGATGGGTTTCTTTTCGCAATGCCTTTATATACAGGTGACAGAATAGAACATTTTGCACTGGGGAAACTGAGGTGAGGGAAGAAGTCGTCATAGTACCATAAACAACATTTACTGGAATATTTAACTCGGATTGGCCATGTTTCAAAAGATTTCAGTTGGAAATTAATACTTTGTTCTCTTTCGCAATCGCCTTTCACCCCACCCCCAGAAAACCTGGGTTTCCTTTTCAATGGGTGAAGTTAACACGATGCCCTTCAGAAATAATACTGTGAATGACCACACAGAGACCTTCAAAAGTTCTGACTGCCCCGCCCTGAACCTTTTAAAAAACTGAGACTTCTGTTCTCATTTCTTTTGTGCCTTTATTGGTTTTCTTGTGCTCATCCCCACCGGAACAGCTGTAAAATTGGAATCCAGAATAAGTTACCTCTGCTATTGCTATCTCCGTTAAGAAACCATCTTGTGAATTTGTTGGAAGAATGGCCATAGTCTGTATGGAAAGATTCAAGCCGTTGGCATCTCAGGTGCTGAGAAATGAGATGTGGAGAGAAAGAGCCCATGGCTACAGATGACAGTGACAGGACAAGCGAAATGGTGCACTCCTGATGCCATGAAGTCCCACTGATTCCAGCAGCAAAGAGCCAAAAGCTCACATATGTTTAACTCCTTTGTTGACATCAATGGGTCTTAAAAGGAGATTCTTCCTGGCTAGATCATGTGCCTTTGGATTCACAATGGATCACAGATTTCAACATGTTTTGTTGCAGAGATTGTGAACTGGTGGCCTTCTGGACACTGCTGGCCTATCACTGCCATCAGCTCTGACCACTGGACAGAGCTGATAGAAGCTGGAGTCCTACAGCAACAGTCCCACAGATTTTCCTTGCCTGTTTTAATCAGGTGGCTCAGTGGCCGTCATTGCCCCGCAAATAGCAGTGTGATTTTGCTTGCCTGCTTTGAAGAAGAAGAAGAAGGGAGAAGATCAGAAAAGCATGAAATGATTGGCTTCATCCAGCCAGCCTTGGGAGCGCTGGTTCATTTCCCATTAAATGTGCTTTTTGAGTAAGGGAGAAGGGGAACACCAGTTGCCCCACTGACCTCCCAGCTGCATGCTTTCTTCATGGTAGCCTTCATCAACCTGGTGCCAACCAGATGTTTTGGACGACAACGCCCATCAGCCCCAGTTGAGTTGTTGTCCAAAACATCTGGAGAACACCAGGTTGACGAAGGCCGGTTTATGGCATCAAGTTGCGTCTACATAAATAGTCGTCATCAACCAGACATTTCCTCTTCATGGCTTCCTAAAACAAAGCATGATGGAACAATGCCCAGAATAATGGGAGCTCTTCCTTCTTTTTTGAGCAAGTACAAACAAAAATGGACAGAGAATGCATTTAGTGGCTGCTGCTCTCGTCGAAAGACTCTACTCCCGAGTCCGTGGCGGCAGCACTGAGTTTCTCTTGCCGTCTTCTCATAATCTCTTGTAATTCTGTACTTCCACTGGTAGCCTTTGAAATCAGAAAAGGGGGGGAGAGATTCAAAACAAGCCTATTTTTGCACATGAGCCAAGATTTGACTTCAGTTAGGAAATGCATCTATTAAATCCATTTATTTAACAGGGGTAGGAGTGGTGGAGGGTTTCTGATTCAGCAAAACATGTTGAGGAGACCCAAAGCCGAGAATAAGAACATAAGAGGAGCCTGCTGGCTGGATCAGGCCAATGGCCTATCCAGTCCAGCATCTTGTTCTCACAGTGGCCAAACAGATGCCTATGTAAAGCCTGCAAGCAGGATTTGAGCACAACGGCACACTCCCTTTCTGTTAAGATACAGCAAAAGGTATCTAGAAACATTTCTGCTTCTGAGCATAGAACAACATAGCTAGTAGCCACCGATAGCCTTGTCCTCCAAAGCATGAGACGCTCAATCACAGGGTCGTGGGTTCGAGCCCCATGTTGGGAAAAAGATTCCTGCATTGCAGGGGGTTGGGCTAGATGACCCTTGGTGACCAACAGTGCCTCCTGTGGAAGTGAGTTCCATAGTTTCCCAATGAGCTGTGTGAAGAAGCACGTTCTTTTATCTGCGCTGAGTCTTCCAACCTTCAACTTCATTGGAGGTCCGTGAGTTCCAGTGTTATGAGAGAGGGAGCAGCCATTCAGTGCAGCTGCTACTGGAATGTGCTACTTCAGGTGGAAGGTCAGAGATTGCATGTTCAAACTTGCCTCCTGCTTCCTAAACAAACTCCTCACACATTGGAAAGTAGGCTTGCTATTTGAGAAAAGGTGGACAGAGTCATTCCGTACAACACTGCCATTTTCTATGTGTGGCGCAGGCCTGGGGAACTGGACCCAGCCAAAGGGTTGGATTCCAAACAGGCCACTTTGACAGGTCGTATGATGCCAGGTGATTCAAAATTCTAGCCATGGGAGCAGCCACAGGCTTTCCCCCGATCTTAGCGCTGTGACTCTACAGTGTTAAGATCAGAGATAAGTCTCCTTTGCTTGCTATTTGATACGAAAAAGGCAGCAGCAGGGGCTTATCCCTGATGTTTGCACCACCTCTGCTGCCACCTATGACTATCCTAGAGCAAGCAGAGGCTTTCCCCAGATCTTAGCGCTGTGACTCCACAGCGCTAAGCTCAGAGATAAGCCTCCTTTGCTTGCTATTTGATACTGAAAAGGCTTATCCCTGATATTAGCACTGCCTCTGCAGCTAACTATGACTGTCCTAGAGCAAGTAGAAGCTTATCTCTGATCTTAGTGCTGTGGTATGTTTGCTTGTTTTAAAGAGTGGGGGAGCATCGCAGCATGCAGTTTGAAGTGCTACGATCCAGCAAGAGCTGCTCTGTGTGATTCTGTTGACGGTACAGCTACGTTCTCAGATAAACTGTTGAGATGCTGAAGGCAGTCTTCTGCCGCAATGCCTTTTTGGAAGTGGTAAATCAAAGGCCATCTAGTCCAAACTCCTGCTGAAGCCCCTTCCAACTCAGCATTTAAATGGCACCCAACTTAATGTTCATTCCACTTTTGTCATTACCCTGAGTGGAAGGGCTCAGAGCTCAATGCATGCAGTGTGTTGGTCATTCAATCCTTGGTGCATTCAGACAGAACATGCCTAACACCTAAGAGTATGGATGGGGAACTAGGATGGCAAAAGATGATGGATTTGGTGGAGAAACCACCTTGGCACGTACCTCCAGTGCAGCTTTCTGAACAGTAATTTGGCTGTAGACTCGAGCTCCTTCGGGGCACACAGTCCTTAGCTCGTCTTTGTTGAGGGAGAACAGCTGAGCGCCAGTCAAAACCCCAAGGCTGTTGACAGTTCTGTAGGATTAGCAGCAACAGATTAGCACAGTGAAGCTATTTTTTAAATATAAAAACAAACAAGAAAATGCCAAATGTGATACTCGGGTAAAGGAAAGAAATTGCTCACTCAACCAAACCACAGGTCCACCTACTGTAGGATCAGTAATGGCAGTGGATTTCAAGCAGGGTTTTTTTTTCCAGGCAGGGGATGCCAACCTGGTCCTAAATATTGTTTGCCCAATTTTATGGAGCTCCCTTCTGGCTGAGATCAGACAGGCCCCTTTCCCTGTTGAACTTCCAGAACCTGCCTAGCTATCTGTTACATTGATATACCTCCTTTATTTTCCAAGGATCTCAAGGTGATGGTTCATGGTTCTCCTCCTCCCCTTTTTATTTCACCTTCCTAACAATCCTGTGAAGTAGGTTAGGCTAAGGGATCATGACTGGCCCAAGGTGAGCTTCATGGCCAAGAGGAGATGCAAATTCTGTTCTCCCAGGTCCCAGTCCAGTTTTATCTCTTTCTCAGCATTCAGTTGGGACGCGGGTGGCGATGTGGGTTAAACCACAGAGCCTAGGACATGCTGATCAGAAGGTCGGCGGTTCGAATCCCCGTGATGGGGTGAGCTCCCGTTGCTCGGTCCCTGCTCCTGCCAACCTAGCAGTTCAAAAGGCACATCAAAGTGCAAGTAGATAAATAGGTACCACTCTGGTGGGAAGGTAAACGGCGTTTCCGTGAGCTGCTCTGGTTTCGCCAGAAGCGGCTTAGTCATGCCGGCCACATGACCCGGAAGCTGTACGCCGGCTCCCTCGGCCAATAAAGCAAGATGAGCTCCGCAACCCCAGAGTCGGTCACAACTGGACCTAATGGTCAGGGGTCTTTTTACCTTTTAATCTGTAAAAACAACTGCACAAACTAATGTAAAGTGTACATGGAATGCATGTTTCAGTGAAAAGAGCATGCAAAAATGTGTTGTGTTGGGGAAAACTGCTTTGCAAAACGGGGCAAAGCAAGATGAGCGCCGCAACCCCAGAGTCAGTCATGACTGGTCCTAATGGTCAGGGGTCCTTTACCTTACAGCATTCAGTTACTTGCACATGGCTTAGAGACTACTGCACTTAAGCCGTACTGCCAACTCTTAAAATAAATAAACAAACCTGGGACCTTCTGCAAGCAAAGCAGATGTTCTGCCACTGAGCTTAATCCAGCTCTTTTGGACAGGATGGTGTTGAGGACAACGAAGCACCTCAGGTGGTCTACTTGCCTCTTAACTCTGATCAACTCTTATCAGAAAATGTTGCTCCTTGAAACTCACACTGGGTTGAAGCCTTTCGCCTGTAACCAGCTTTTCACGTCTTCGGGAGAGGAGTCGTAGCTGATGTTGATGGCTGGGGCGTTGGATCGTGGCACATGGAACTTCTTTTGGGCAGCGCTTCGGCCAATGGTGAGCCGGTGGATGAGCTCATCCTGGACTTCTTCCATCTGAGATTTCCGCCCTTAAAAAAAGGAGAAGGAAGAAGAGAAAATTGACTGCTGTTTAAAATATGTATCTGAAGAAGCGACTCAAAGGGAAACTGATTCCTGCCATCCACTTTGATTGCTTTTACTGCAGTGCAATCCTATGCAGGTTTACTCAGAAGTAAAGGCTGTGGGGTTTACTCCTCAGTAAATGTGCATAGAATTGAGGCCCTATACCATTTTCTTGCCAAATGGTATAGCTATTATCAGATTCTTTTCCGTTTAATCCAGAATTTTAGGATTAAGGACAAATCATAATCAACTTTGCAGAATTCTTCCCCCCCACATTTAACAGGATTTGTGGTGAACTCCACTGCAGGCTTAGAGAGTGATCTAACCAAACTTAAGCACTTTTAAGCCCAATTGCATTCAATGAGAGAGCTAAGGAGGTTCTTCATTTCCCCCCATTAAAATCAATGGGACTTAGGAGTTCTTTATGTTGATTGGTTCCTTAGTATTTAGGGCCATATATGTTTAATATATAAGGACGTGGGTGGTGCTGTGGGTTAAACCACAGAGCCTAGGACTCAGAAGGTTGGCGCTTCGAATCCCCACGACAGGGTGAGCTCCCGTTGCTCAGTCCCTGCTTCTGCTAACCTAGCAGTTTGAAAGCACGTCAAAGTGCAAGTAGATAAATAAGTACCGCTCCAGCGGGAAGGTAAACGGTGTTTCCGTGTGCTGCTCTGGTTCGCCAGAAGCGGCTTAGTCATGCTGGCCACATGACCCGGAAGATGTGCGCCGGCTCCCTGGGCCAGTAAAGCGAGATGACCGCCCCAACCCCAGTCACGATTGGAGCTAATGGTCAGGGGTCCCTTTACATTTATTTAATAAATAAGGATGTACTAGGATGGTTCTATATATCACCCCAACAGCACTGGCTGTTCAAGATTATCAGGGCAATTCTGTAGGCACCAAAAAACAGTCCATCACTAGGGTTTTTGGCTACTGCAGCATCCTCTTCCTTAGCTCCTGTCTCCCACACTGGCTATTTCAAGAGCAAAGGGAAATCACTGCTTTGAATTCTGCCAGCCAAGAAGCCTTGGCTGTGCTTCTTCCTTCCCATCCTGTAAAATTAGCACGTGCCGCACATAGCAAAGCAAGCACAATGAAAACCTGGCACAGCCCTCCAAGGATCGGAGCGCCAGCCTTGCAATAGCTGACAGTTCACTGCTCAAGGCTGTGGCTACTTCTGCACCAAAATTTAACCCAAGCGATTCTGCGAGTAGAATAAATCGTGAAAATTAAACATTTCTGCATTAGTCAAGTCTGCTTTCCACAGCCATGTTTCCAAAGCACCTGGAATTGTTGGGCTGGGGGAACGGCAAAAGTCCGTGCATGGAGACTGAAGGCAGGTGGGCTGCAGGAGGGTAGAAGAAGCCCATTTCCTTACCAGAGCATACCCTGTACAGTCTGCCTCCATAAGAGCTAGAAACTTGGCTTTCAGAAATGCCCAATAACCTTTGGTTCTCAACACCACTTCTGATGTCAAATTTTATGGATGACAAATTCTGTTGAGTAGAGTAATCGGAACATATTTTCCCCAAGTGACAGGCTGGTATCCAACACTAGCCATACTCAGAGCAGAACCAAGGAAATAAATGAATTTCGGCAAGTTAAGTCCATTGACCTAAATGGTACTACTTGAGAGTATGACTTAATTGGATATAAGCAGCTGAATTATGTCATTCGACACAGATGATTTTTCTGGTACACAGAAAGAGAGAGAGAGACTCACGATCTATAGGGGGCGGTTTCTGCCTCTGGCCGTCTCGCCCGCCTTCGCTTGAGGTGCTGCTTTGGCGGCTGATGGCTCCAGGCACCTTTGGCACAGGAACTGGGATGGGCGCTGGCATGCTTGGCGGGAGAGGGACAGGAAGTGGCGTCTGGGGCGGTGAAGGGACGACAGGAGCGGGGTCAGGTTGCTTCGGAACAAAGTCCGTCCTTTGCTTCTACAAATGCACACACACAAAAAGAGGATACATTTTTCATGGCTGTGGGGAAAATCCAAGTTGTTGGGGTTTTGTTTTGTTTTGCAGAATATATGTGTTAACTAAACCTCTGCAAGAGTGAACACTTGTTTGCTTATTTTCCACGTGTCAAACCTGAGCAACACGAGAGAAGCATTGCAGGTAAAGCACATCCATGCATTGCAGGAAGAGAAAAATGGAGAGTGAAACCTAAGTCAGTAGATGATCACCATCTCTTGGTCTTCTTTTTAAAAAATAGTTTTTACTGCATCTGTCTGTCTGTCTATCACCTGTCTACCTATCACCATAGGTATGGGTGTGCATCAGCTCAAGACTGCAGTGCCTGCATGCCTGGGGACAATGTGAATTGGTCCACAGTGTGGGAATGCCTTCTTCCTTCTGGAGAGAGCAAGCAAGAATGCACTCCCAAAAGGCTAGTTCACACTGCGAACACCTTTACAGTCCCAGCCTGCTAAGTGGGCTACAGACTTTCAAGAGGTCTGACTGCGTTATGTTTTCAAAAGGCTCTATAGTTTTTCGAGAGCTCTTAACAGCCGAGGAAGCCACAGTGGAGATGGCAACAAAGGGGCATTTTTTTCTCTCCTGGGAAGCTACATGGGATCTGAAAATAATGGAGAGTAGGAGGTATAGTGCAGAAGGGAGAGTCTTGCTAAATAGCCACCAAATATAGTAAGGCTCATGTGGGACGCGGGTGGCACTGTGGGTTAAACAACAGAGTCTAGGACTTGCCGATCAGAAGGTCAGCGGTTCGAATCCCTGCAATGGGGTGAGCTCCTGTTGCTCGGTCCCTGCTCCTGCCCACCTAGCAGTTCGAAAGCACATCAAAGTACAAGTAGATAAATAGGTACCACTCCGGTGGGAAGGTAAACGGTGTTTCCGTGCACTGCTCTGGTTCGTCAGAAGTGGCTTAGTCATGACCCAGAAGCTGTACGCCGGCTTCCTCAGCCAGTAAAGCGAGATGAGCGCCACAACCCCAGAGTCGGCCACGACTGGACCTAATGTTCAGGGGTCCCTTTACCTTTTTATAGTAAGGCTCAAGCACTGTGCAAAAATAAGAGATTTAAGGATTGTAGCAGATCCTTTAATCTGTCTCAATCATGCAGAATTGTGTCATGTCAATGCTCAGGAATATAGGTGCACACCTATGGCCTTTCTACAAATACAGCAGGCGTCACCTCATAGGTCTAACAGATACAAAAAATCAGAGACCCTGAGGATCATCTAGTCCAACCTGAATATGCAGCTGTCCTTGGGTTTCAAAATTAACACACACACACACAGAGAGAGAGAGAGAGAGAGAGATGTGTATGTGTGTGTGTGTTTTTAGTGTCCATAAATGTTTGATGACTAATCTAAAGTGAAAAGCCCATGCGAAATATATTTCTCATGAAGTATTTGTGAATAATAATAATAATAAAATAAAAAAAATATACCATTCTGAAGCAGAGCATGTTTTCTCCAGACAATCTATGAGCTGTAAACCCAAGATCAAACCTTAGTTACAGCTTGTGGTGCATCTGGAGAGAGACAAACCATGACATGCAAAGCCAGCTAAACCGTGGCTTAGCTCATGGCAGAAGAACTGGGGGAAGAACATAGTTGCAGTGATTTCCTTTCCAGAACTGTGAGCTTTCTTGCTAAGCTACAGTTTTGCTTAGCATTCCATCTGCGCCAGCTCAGTAATAAGGAAGACAGACCAAGTTTTCTGACCCTGCATAGGGCAGCTTCAGATGTTAAGCCTCGCTTGAGACTCCCTAAGGCTGGAAGTTGAGAATTTGTTAGAGGAAACAGTAGTGAGGTGGGAGAGAAGGCTTTTGAGGAGCGCGGCAGATCTTACGGACAGTTCCCAAAAAGCTTTTAACAAGACACACTGCTTCATCCATTTTATATGAGAACAATTTGAATTACCTCAGAGAGTTCTCCCAGTAATTGCTACAAGAAAAACGAAGTAAACCAAAGCAAATTAGACAAGTTGGAACAACGTTGAAACGTCAACCACAGAATCAGCAGCCTTCCAGCATTTTAAGTAGCATTCATTGACTCTTGATGGCAGCAATTACTTGCCAATTTTTGAATTCCTATTAGAATTCCCACCATCACCAGCTGGGACGACAATGTGCAGTCACAAAGCAAAGCAAACCATGGCTTGTGTTATATTAGCTCAGGAGTGCATTACGGGTGTGTTATATTATACTAAAATATAATACAGTGGTTTAGACTGTATTACCTATCTGCCTCCTGGGATAATAACAACTCATGGGATAATAGACTGTATCATGTGGTAATGCAATGCTTTTTCCAAGTCATGCGCTTTTTAAATGGGCAATATGTTCTCAGTGATACTGATATTCACTGGGCCCCCACAAAGTCAATGGGCAAAGTTGAAGCCCTTTGTTGCGGTCACCCACAATCTCCAGCACAAGATGGCACCTATGCTGATGTGAGTCATAAGGACCAGAAACTTGTTAAAAATAGAAATAAAGGTAAAGGTAAAGGTGCCCCTGCCCGTACGGGCCAGTCTTGACAGACTCTGGGGTTGTGCGCCCATCTCACTTAAGAGGCCGGGGGCCAGCGCTGTCCGGAGACACTTCCGGGTCACGTGGCCAGCGTGACAAGCTGCATCTGGCGAGCCAGAGCCGCACACGGAACGCCGTTTACCTTCCCGCTAGTAAGCGGTCCCTATTTATCTACTTGCACCCGGGGGTGCTTTCGAACTGCTAGGTTGGCAGGCGCTGGGACCGAGCAACGGGAGCGCACCCCGCCACGGGGATTCGAACCGCCGACCTTTCGATCGGCAAGCCCTAGGCGCTGAGGCTTTTACCCACAGAGCCACCCGCGTCCCCAAAAATAGAAATATTAGGTTTTTAAATAAAAAATCCCTCAAGTTGCCTGTGGGGATGTGTAACTCAGGAATTGAATGGATACAACTATGGGGGGGGGGTCAATGTTAGCCAGGGAGCTCTGTGGACCATGATGTGAAGGCAGGGGACAGGAAGAGACATATAGAGGCGGCTCCCCACTTATGTGGGGGTTACGTTCCGGGTCCCCACACACATAAAAGAAATGTGTGCAAGTGGGGAACCCCCTAGAGAGTCCTTGTGGCTCGCGAGGAGACGCTCCCCAGAGTCCAAAGTGGACATCCTCTTGAGGCTCTGCACAGGTGCTCCACATAAGCCAGAGGCACAGTGGGGCTTTGTTGAGGCTGCTCAGCCTCCCCGACTAACAGCTAGTGCACAGGGTAGCGCAGCAGCAGCCGCTTTCAGCTGAGCAGGCTCAGCAAAGCCCCGCTGTGCCTCTGGCTCGCAAGGAGACACCCACACAACCCGAAGCCCGAAGAGGACATCCTCTTTGGGCTCTGGGGAGGGCATCCTCACGAGCCACCCACCACTTCCAGATTCCCAGCACTGTACATGTGTGTGGTCATGCAGAAGAACATCTCACACATGTGGGGAGTTTCCTGTATTTTGATTCCCAGGAACTGGTATATGTGGATACAAAGCATTAGACAGTGGTGTCATAATGGCTAACAGCCATTAAGAGCCTTCTCTTCCCTGAACATCCAAAACATCTGGAAGGCACCTTTCCCGCCCCTAGCTGGCCACAATGATCCTTGTGACGGTCACCTCCAGGCTTGATTATTGTAACTTGCTCTATGTGGGGCTGCCCTTGAAGCTGACCCAGAAACTCCAGCGGGTGCAGAATGCCACGGCGAGGCTCTTTACGGGGTTCTTGCTGTGGGATCACATTCATCCAGTGCTTTACCAACTGCACTGGCTCCCGGTGGAGTACAGGGTCAGGTTTAAGGTGCTAGTTTTGACCTTTAAAGCCCTATGCGGCCTAGGACACACGTACCCATGGGACCGCCACTCCTGGTATGCCCCGTGGAGGACCTTAAGGTCCACAAATGACAACATTTTGGAGGTCGCAAGGTGGTTAGATTGGTCTCAACTAGGGCCAGGGCCTTTTCAGTACTGGCCCCGACTTGGTGGAACGCTCTGTCGCAAGAGACTAGGGCCCTGCGGGACTTGACATCTTTCCGCAGGGCCTGCAAGACAGAGCTGTTGTGCCTGGCCTTTGGTTTGGACTCAGTCTGACCCTTATGTTTCCCTCCCCTTATGGATTTGATCTATGGGCTACTTTTAAAATGAGGCTGCATTTTAAATTGCATTTTAACCTGTATTTTAATTCCCCCCTATTATGTTTTTACTGTAATTTTACTGGTGTTAGTCACCCTGAGCCCGGCTTTTAAATTTTTTTTTTAAAAATAATAACTCCCAGCTGAAGTCCCATTCACCATCTCCCACCATGCTCTATTTGTAGAAGGGGGTGGCTAACTCCACACTCCCAGCTCTGCCAGTAAAATGAGAGCAGACTCAAAGCCTAGATTTTCTCTACACAGGCTTTATACCCCTGTACATAATTGTACGGACCAAATCAAATTAACAAAGAAAAAAATGCAGTATGCCTGAGCAGGCCTTGCACATGCAACAGTTTTCTTTTTCCAAAAAGTGCAGTCATCATTTGGATAAATCTGGAAACAAGAAACTCAACACAATAGCTGTTTAATTAAACTTTCTTTTTAAAAAAGAACACCCCCGCCTCCTCTTCGTCCCTCAACCGATCAGTTCTGCTAGAATGGTACTGCATGGATTACGGGCAAAGACTTAATGACAATTCTGGCAACTGCCGAATGAGCACCTGCCCATGTGCATTCCTTCATTTGCAACACATTTCCCAGGCAGCTGAGAAAGGGGGGGGGTGTAAGAGCAGTTGGCAGTGGGCACTTGTGTTGGATCTAAGCAAGCTGGCAGGAGATCTGGGCACGGGAAATGTGTGTGAAAGAGAAGCTGCACCCCCACAGAGAGACATTTGCCACAAACGGATAAATAAAGAGACTTGTGGAAGTTTTAGTGGTGGACTCCAAAGAATACAAAGGGGAAGCAGTGAATCCCAAGGGGAAA